AACTGAAGTTTCCTTGTATGCAGATTTCCCTTTCTTATTATCAAAGTGTACAACTGCTGGAACAATCATTATTCATCCCTATCTTGGACAGCTTGTTGCATGAAATGAATAGTTCATTACATTATCTATTTCCCATTTATTTTCCAAACCATGGTGTTTGAGCTCTACTGGACATGTTAATAGCAAATTATAGATTTGTGATTATAATGAAGTTAAATTTGTTACAGGATACGTGATGATATTGAGAAGGAGGAGGCATTTCGAGGATTATGTGCAATGGTATGCTCCTATTTTCTTGGGTTTCCATTTGATTCTGGCAATCACTAAACTAGCAATTCTTGCAGGTTAGAGCAAATCCATCGGGGGCTTTGAATGCACTTGTTTTTATGTGTAAAGCCATTGGAAGTTGGCATGTAAGAGACTGTTAGCACTATTTTTTACCTGGAATCTAAATAATTAGTGAGTTGCTGTTTCTGATTTTGGTCCATTTTCAGGAAATAAGGAGTAGTGATCTACACAATGAAGTCTGTCAGGTGTTGCAGGGCTATAAACAAGTGAGTGAAGCCTTGAAACTTCTTGGCTCCAACAGCTAGCCATTTTCTCTTGCTGTTTTATTATTTATTTTATTTTTATTTTTAATGTTATAATTTTCATTCCTTATACATGAACACAGAATTAAAGGAAGACATTATACATGCATATAATCAGTGACACTAATGACGTAATAGGGAATATCTACTTGTAGGGAAAAGAAAAGAAGTCTTTGTGGCAAAATCATATCTGCTAATAATTCTGTCTGATTGTTATTGTTGTGTTGGTAAAATTTCAGATGCTCGATAATGGAGCATGGGAACAATGCATGTCTGCTTTGGAGGCTCCTGTGAAGAATAAGCTTCAAAAGTATCTTGTGTAATGCCTACATTTTTACAATGGACTTGTCTTATTGCTGATCATCAATACGAGCAAGCTATGCACCTGCATTTTTAATGTTTTGTGTCTGATTGTTGTGGATCTTTGATTATCGAGGGCAAGGAAAAGTTTTTGGTCAAGTTTTCCTGGAGGAGAATTTGGATTGAAGCTTTATTTCTATATGCAAAAATTGATTGGGAAAGTGGAGATACGAGGGAGGGCAGAACTGAGTGTGTAAAGGACAGGCTTTTCAGCATTTCAGATTTTCTTTCCCTACATGATGTCCTGTATGTTATATTCTAAAAGTTAGGACATAGTTTTACTTTCTGGATCAAGAAATTTTGTCTTACATGATTTTTTTTTTTTTTTTTTTTTTTTTTTTTTTTTTTAAATGGCTGTGGTCGGTAAGGTTTTAGTTTGAGTGTACCACAATATGTAGTTGGGTTTGAACATTTTGTAGGTCAGGTTTTGTTGGATATATTGGTCTAGTAACTGTATTTTATTTGGTGATGAAATGTGAAATTTGATTGGTGATGGAGAATAAAAAAAAAAAAAGGTATCATTGGCTGTTGATGAGAAATGTATTGTTGGAAGTGAAACCGGTGTCAGTAGCTATGCAGCGTTGAATTCTAGTAAGATTTTATAGTCTGTCTTACAGCGATTGATATGGCTTCTATATCTTGGGAATTTGACTCCACTTAAAGCATATCTCTTTGCTTTGTGCTTTGTATTTGCATATAGAATTTGTTGAGATCGACATGAGTAGTAGCAATGTAAAAAGTAATAGGAGGATTACTTGGTTGTACGGTTCATTAAGGAATTGGTTGTGTAATTGATGCAAAGCTGTGAAGAATATGATACATTAAGTTTAAATAAAAGAGCATGAGCAGGGTGTTCATTGCAGTTGCATGCAATAATTTGTACTAGTTTGAGTGTTGGCTTCAGCCTTTTGTTCAATTGTGTTCCACTTGTGTCTTCTAGAAATGTGTTGTTGGTGAAGAAGAGTTTGTTGGATTTGAAGGTGCAGAAGGCAGTTGGTGTATAAGCAGGGGTCCAGCCCCTGAAGCATGTGTTTGACATTTTGTGTGAGCTCCTTCACACTTGTGCTCCAGTGCCCTTTCAGATTATCCTCTATGCCCCGGACTAGTATGGGGAACACTTGTTCCATTGATTCTGCTGCCATCCTCCAAAATTTCTCGTTGTTCCATACGTACAGTGCGCGCTCAGCGACCTATATACATAAAGCAAACATAAGTAGTAGCGTAAATGAGTCAGTCTATGATGATAGTTTTTACCTCTACTTACCTGAGAATTCCAACTGTTGAGACACTTGGTGATTTGTGTGCAGAGAGGAAGAGCCAAGGTCTTGTACTGAGAGGGTTGCAGCAGTGTCTCTACCAATTCTTCCAATTCTCCAATCAGCAAAATTTCCTTGTGGCAATTGGTGAGTGGCCAGTACTTTAATATGCCTCTAACCACCACCCCTGCAAGCTCTGCTTCCTTTTGCACAAACTGGAACACACAATAAGCCAACTGCTTGTGATATGCGTGCATGCCTTTGGGCCTGTGCAGTGGGATGACAACTCTTGTAAAGAAAAGCTTGTGCTCATCCTTTAGCGGGACGCTGAAACCGTTGATGATGGTTCCCCAGATCTCTAGCAGCTCTCCTATTCCCGGATGCCTCTGTTCCGTTTCCGTTTCGAAAATGTAGTGCAAAAACACATCGTTCATTGCCTTACGCATGAATGATCTGTAGAATGTGAATTTGGAGTATATACGGTGGAACACGTTTTTCAAGCTCTCCCGCTCTCTGGGGTCATCTGACTGGAAAAGGACCAGAAGATTGTGAAGGAAAGAATGATCTATAAAACCTGCAGCACGAAGCTCCTCAGCCTCTGTGGTTGTGATCACCCGGAGGAGTATGTCGTATATGATCTGCAAATGTGACCAGGTCTTGGCAGGATTGAGAATGCAGTTGTCGTCGTCGTCAGGCAAGGTGGAGAGGTGGTTGTTGGGAGGAGGGAGAGGCCTAAACAGATTGACGGACAACATAGTGAAAAGGGGAGGGAGAATTATTTGAGGGTCCAAAGGGTTTTTGTGGATTCTTATTAGGGAAAAGAGTTGAATGAGCTTGAGGCGCTTGAGATCCTGGAGCGAAGGAGAATCCCGAGGATCAATCCAAGTGTAGGTGAAGGAACAATAAGCAATGAGGGAAAGCATTTCGTCATTTTCGTCTCCAAAACCACCCTGCAGTAGTTTAGGGGCTCCTCCTGCTGGATGAGTATGTTTGTGTGAAGAATCAATATCAAAAAGGGTCTTGAGCGAGGTGATGGTGGTGGTTATCTTGTTGGGGCTATTTCTGAAATTACCACCCATCTGATCGGGGATCTTTTCAATTCGATCTCACCGGCCGGCCGGCCTCCTTCTCAACCTTCAATTTCAATTGAATTGAAAGAGCAAGCTAAGCTAACCGCAAACTGCGTGCTGAATGAATTTTCATAGGCAACGAAAGTGCATTGGAATGTCCGGATAAGAAATAAATAAAATGGAGCTAGCTAGATAAGCTATGTACGTAGTTAGTTTCATTGTGTTCTACTGTTCTTGATTGTTACTCCCACACAAGAAGACATGCATATATATATATATATATGTGTGATGTCTTCTCCGCCTAGGATTTAGAGCTGTAGCCAATTGTAATGGAGTAAGATTCGCAACAAGACAACACTACATACATACATATATGTTTCGTTTCATTTCTTTGTTAATTCAAGTGCTAAAGCCTATCATCATCCGATCCTTTCCAAGAACTAACTGGCCTGGCATATATGTGTCGTGTCACTCGTGTGTGAATAATGACTAATGAGGGTGTAATTTAGTTAATTAGTTAGTTAATCATAGTAGCTGGAATTTAAAAAAAAAAAAAAAAAAAGAAAGATGGGACGTAGATGACACACCATGAATAGTATGTTGCCCCTAGCCCTCATTTCTCCACACCTACGTACACTTGTCGTCGTCATCACTCGGGACTCAATTGATGCGGATGGAGTCGAGTTAGGCGCATGGCCCACCGTAAGAAAGCTTAGCTTGACATGGAGTTCGTGGTAACCGGATTGGATTGCGCCTACAGTGTGATCCTCTGCCGGTTATGCCTAGAGAATTTAGGAGTCGTGATTTCCATTCAACACATGTGAATGAAATTTCGCACTTCGATCAGAGTCCTTGTCTGCTAATGGCCAACCCGCGGATGATGTTAGTGTTTTCTCGAGTTAAAGATTGGACGAACTCCTGAAAAATTTTAATTGGTTCCGTTTATGGTAGCCTATCATCTGACGATTATAAAATAATGTATGTCAGAACTCTCATGTCTTTCGGGCAAGGAGCTGACCCTCCGAACCAGGCCGACTCTTGCCTTGCCAGTTAAGGTGGAGTTTGGAGGATGTACGCTTGATATTTCGGTCATTTTGACGGGTTTGATTAGGTAAAAAAAAAAGATAAAAGAAGTAGAAATTAGGAACACGTACTTTTTGTAACGAGACGACACCAATGATGATTTTGTCACCGGTCCATTATAAACAAACAAAAGAATAATAGTATTATTACTTGGGATGCTAGACCATTTTAGCTCACATTAAACGTAACCGTATGCAATAATAATCTAAGTAATATATATATATATATATATATATATATATATATATATATATATATATATATATATATATATATATATATATATATATATGCATGATTTTTTGAAGCTAGGTTGAGTAATAGTAAGTGGTACATACTGGAATACATTGTGAGTCCAGGCGTAGGTGGCTGGGCTATGAGTATTTATTTAGTAGGTTCAAGAAAGTTGCACGTGCCCCAACCTGTCCCGCAGGAAGATAGAGATAGAGACTAAGGAAGCCACCGCCTCAACACCCATTGGCGCCGCCTTTCATTTCTTAATTAATTATTATTTGCGGGCGTATAGTATTTGTTTAACATTTTGCCGACGTAGACGTAGTTTTTTACGACATCGGATTAACACCACAAAGAAAGAAAGAAGTAGCTAGCTAGATCGAGTACGTACTCCCTGTATATATATGTAGGATCCGAGTAGCTAGCTAGCTAGGTTTGGAGCTTATATTAATTAGATTAGATCGAACTAACAGTAGTAGTATATTATCTGATCTGATCAATCCTATATATCTGTGGATCTGAGGATGAATATAATGGAGAAGCAGGAGGTGGCGAGGTTAGGTCATCTGCTGGTAACAGTATTTTTGTCAGAGTTTGCGTCTTTCACGGCCACGCCAGTGTTGCCGGATATCACCATGGAAGCCATCTGCCCCGCCCAAGATCAGTGCGCTCGCGCTATCTTCCTTTCCGGTTTCCAACAGGCTGTACGTCCTCTATATCTATATCTATATATATATTTGTCTAGTACTGTCTTCGATCCATCCACAACCTACCATACATACTTCATTTCATTTAATTAAGATATATAGATAGATTATCCTGCAGCATGCTATATATATATATATATATATCCAAAAGCTTGTATATATGTATTTTATTAGCCCCCATCCATCTACTGTATGTTATTCTTCCATCTCTCAGCTCAGCTAGCTTGTATGTATATATATGAATTCAAAAATTATAAATTGTATTGTTAATCATGCCTCCTCCTGCTGGTGTGGCGGCTTCAATTCTTCTGTTAGTCGTCGTTGGAAGTATTATTATATATAATATAGTCAATGTTATACGGAGTATTATATATATTATTATATTGTGGACATGCATGCTGCAGCCTGCTGGATATTCGATCAGCTTGCGACACGTGACAGCACTTCTGTCCTAACAGGATGCTAGCTAGCACATCCCCACATTCACCAATATAATCGATCTTCTGACAGTACAACTATATATTTCTCTGATACATGCATACATAGATATTATGGGAAAGGATCCTGTGCTGTTGTGTGAGTAGACTCACATTAAGTATTATACTGGTCCACTTTAAGACACAATAAACGTACATTAAACACATAAACAAAATACATTTAGAATACAAACTCACGCACCTTAAGCACAAAACTCATGTATCTTAAGCACAATCCTCAAGCACATTAAACACAAAAACACACGTACCTTAATTTTAACAACAACTCACATTAAGTATACACTCACGCACGCACCTTAAGCACAAAACTCACGCACCTTACGCACAGAACTCACGCACTTAAAAGTTTCAACAACAACTCACATTAAGCACAAAACTCACGCACATTAAGTTGTAAATACATAAATTTGTGTGAGACTTATCCTGCTGAGGATTTGTAAAATGTAAAAGTGTTGTATTTATCTTCAAAAGTATCATATTTTTTCTTAATAATAAGTAACAAACACTTAATCCTCATTAGTATTACATTTTTATATTGATCCCATCCGTCTCATGGATAAAGGATTAAAGGTCCATGAGATGGTCTCAAGTGTAATCCACCGACGGGCAGCAAAGCATGACGTTAGGTTACGTTACGGTTGCAGGTGACAGGCGTTGGATTAGTGGTGATGATGCCACTGATAGGGAATCTGTCGGACGTGTATGGAAGGAAAGCTTTGCTGACGCTTCCTATGATACTGTCTATTATACCTTTTGCAATTTTGGCTTTTGGGAGGACAACTTACTTTTACTACACATACTACGTCCTCAGGACTATAACTGGCATGGTCTCCGATGGCGGTATTCAATGCATGGCTCTTGCTTATGTGGTACCATACTATACAATTATACATATATAATACATCTCTCTCTATTATATGCTGTAATTTTTATCACTTTTTTTTAGAACCATACACTCTACTAGCTTAGCTAGCCTTCCTCACATTATATATATATATATATATATATATATATATATATTTGAATAATTGAATCTATCAGGCAGACAATACATCGGAGGGAAAGCGTGCATCTGCTATTGGAATTTTGGCTGGTGTAGGATCTGCAGCATTTGTGTGTGGTACCTTAGCTGCTCGCTTCATCTCAACTTCTCACATATTTCTGGTACATACATACATACATATCTTCAATTCAATTCCATCTCTGATTTCCCTACCTACAATTAATAATAATTTCCATCTTCTTCTAATCTTCTTTATTATACAAACAATCTCGCGCCTCCCTGAAATGCACACGCGTACAGTACGTAGTCCAAGCTAATTAAGGCGCGCTATATATGAATTGAACCAAAATTAATTATATTATATATATTGTTGTTGGTTGTATGTTTAGGTTGCAACAGTTTTAGCAATAGTGGCAGCTGTGTATATGAGAATTTTTCTTAAAGACACAACAACAACAACGTTCAAAACTGAAGAAGCAACCGATGAAAATGTTCCGTTGTTGGATTCTTACCGTCAAGATAAGACCACTGACGAGGTTTTCAAGAATGCTCCATCCCCCAAGGACATTATTTGCTTTCTCAACAACACTAGGTATATATTATATATTCATTTCAATGTACTATATACATATATTTCAGAAAATATAATGGATGTGATATTCTTAATTTGTTGTTACATATATATATATATATATACATGCAGTTTAACATTTTCACTGGTGGCATCCATTGCATTCTTAAACAGTCTGGCAGAAGGAGGAGAACAAGCTCCATTTCAGGTACAACTAACTAACTAACTAACTAACTAACTGCTCTCATCTATATATACTCTGTACTTTCCAGCCTGCCTGCACAAAAACTTACTAATTAATTAATTAATGTGCCAGCTGATCTGATCGAATTGCTTTCATTAATTAAGCTAGCTAGGCTTCATGCACCATTATTATATTTTCACAAATCTAGCTAACACTGTACTGGTGGTAAATGAATCAAATTGGTTTCCGCATGCATGCAGTACTACCTAAAAGCACGGTTTCACTTCAACAAAGACAACTTTGCTGATATAATGCTAATTAACAATGTTGGATCAACTATTTCTCAGGTAGGTGTGTGTGTGTGTGTATGCTCTGATCTTAGAGAGTTTCAATTTAATATTTCTGAGAATTAATATAAAATAATAAGCATGCACTGCACGCATGTACTTATAATTTTTTGCAGCTATTACTGATGCCCACAGTGGCGCCTTTTGTTGGAGAGGAGATTTTGCTTTGCATAGGACTGATTGCTGGATTCTGTAACGTATGTATATATGCATGTTACGTGTGGTGCAGTTGTAGACTAATATATAGCAGTACGTACTTAAAGTTTTAACATAAATAAATTTGCAAACTGGATCTGCAGATGTTTGTGAACAGCATTGCCTGGTCTATTTGGGTAATCAAGCTAAGCTCATCATATTCTTTAATCTTTATTTTTGTTAATTTGGTTTATCTGATCTGATGATGAGGTGAATATGTGTATACATTAATCTGATCGTCTGTAGGTCCCTTATGTGGCTTCTCTGTTCCCAATCTTGATTTCATTCGTAAAACCTGCTGTGAGTTTTTACTTTTCATTGTGGATTGAAATATATATATATATATATATATATATATAATATAATTCTTCTTTATATCAATTTGGGGTGGTACAAACGTATGTAGTGTTAATTGGTGTAACATATATACATATGCATGTAGATTCAAAGCATTGTTTCAAAACAAGTTGGGCGAAATGAGCAGGTAATCATTTGATCGAAGTTGGTCATATCATATGTATATATGCAATATAATAATGGATGTTGAAGTTTGTTAGTAAATTGAATTGGGTTAAGTAGTAAGTACTAATACTGTAGGGAACTGCACAAGGCTGCCTTTCAGGATTGAGTTCTTTTGGGAATATCATATCTCCACTCATATATAGCCCCTTGACAGGTGCAGTGAGTTAATAATTAGTTGAAATGTTTTAATTAATTAATTAGCATGTCATGCATCGTCACAACATTAACTGTCTATATAATATTATTGAATTGCAGCTTTGTTCCTATCTGATGCGGCTCCTCTTCCTTATCAAGGCTTTAGTATTTTATGCGTTGGCATTGCTTGGGTGAGTAGCAGCTAGGATAGCAGGCCATATAATAATAATGCAGTAATTATAGATCGAGTAGAGTGAAGAATTATATAATATAATCCCCATCCAGTTCAACTTCAATTTCTACTTATTGTGTTTTACGTACAGCTCATAGCTTTCATTCCGGGTGTCGTAATAATAATAATGTCAAGATCTAAAGCAACCATTGAGGGCCCCCGATCACCTGTTGCACCACCATGAGATGAGAAGAGAAGAGAAGATCAGAGACGCAAGTTTAGCAGTTGGCATCCGCTGTATGTAATACTACTTTTATCAATTCAAGGGTGTATTGTCCATGTAGGCCGGTGTTGTTATTAATTGGACCCGGACCCGGACCCTTCCTTCCAACTTCCAATTCCAATCACAAATAATGTCAAATGATGGATGTTTTTAGTTTGTTAGTTGATGACAATTAAGTAATGCATGTGTTGTTTTCAAAATAAAAACCGCAAAACTACGACCTCATCTTCCTACATATATAAACAAGGACATAATCTGTCTGTACAGTGTTGATAATGAATGGTAAAAGCTCTGAAATTTAGAGGTAAACCTTAAGTTACAAGCTAATGATGACCGCGTAATAGCGCAGAAAAAATTCCTGCAGAAAATTTCTCCTTGCCACGATCATCTGCTTCATCTCCAACCTGTTCCACATTGCAATGCCAATGATTCACAATGTTTATAACTCTCTCTAATATACATACTACATTTTTCCAGCCTTCTATATGTTGTTTGTTTTAATTCAAACCAACAAATGTAGCTGCACGACTTTACTCTTACCTCCTTTGCTATTTGCTGCAAAATTTCTATTATTTCAGAAAAATTAGGCCTAGCTGCAGGATCTTGCTCCCAGCACCTCTCAAGCAGCTCAGCAAATTTAGGAAGAGTGTGTTTCGGTATAGTCGGCCGCAGCCCCTGAATACCCAGCCATTAGAAGTGCATAATTGCACATATTCGTGAAAACGGAATTGAAAAAGGAGAAAAAGAAAAAAAATTAAATATGCATAAACTCATAAAGTGTCCTTGTCTATTTGTAAATAATTTGGTACAAAATGACACAGATCAAATTGATCAAACATTCAATATCAAATTGAGACTATCAAAACATTCAGGACCAGCTTAAACTTTATTTTGGTACCAAAAATGACATTAACTCTGTATTTAGGCATGGCAAAACATATGGACACAGGTAGAATGTGTAACAATGATAGATTCATTATTACAAGAAGAAAGTTTACCTTCTGGACCACTCCAATAGCAGCTTGTAATGGGGTTAAGTACTCGTATGGAAGCTGGCAAGAAAAAAAGATTATAAATAAACATGTTGAAAATATGATAGTGAATTAACATGATATAAAGGAGCAATACCTTTCCAGTCAACAGTTCCCATAACACAATCCCAAAACTGAAAACATCTGCTTTATGATCATAAGGTTTGTGTTCTATAACCTTCAAAGGAAAAAAATTATTTAAGCAAATGAAGGTGTAGTGGTTATTCTCAAACTAGAATAAATGAAAAATACAAGTAAAATAAATACAAATGTTGAGAAACAAAATGCATTACTCAAGGAGAAAATTTAAGTTGTCAGAAGTATATTGAAGTCAAGTTTCTTCAACAAAAGAAATGCACATTCTTTGGCCTCTGCAGTCGAAGCCATCCACTCAACCAAGAAACACGTGACTTTACAACTTAGGTATAACATAATTCAGGCTTAAATATGGAGGTAGATATTGATACTTAATGGGGTTAAAACCCAATAGTTCATGTAAATAGATTTGGTATAAGCCCATTTCTATAAATGGGTGATAAAGGGTCATAAACAGTTTACCCAACAAACATAAGGAACATTAAACAAAACCAAAAATTCAAAACTTAGAAATTCCTGCTGTATACCACCCTATTCTCTGGTGGGCAGTGGGCTGTCAGAAATTTTTAGCATCACATTTGTAGAAAATTGTCAAAAGAAAGAACTAGAAAGGAAAGATTTTGTTTATTAATGGAGGAAAATGGACAAAAGTTAATGGCCTTTGGTATAGTTCAACCAGAATGGAATGTTTTACACATCAAATGTACAAATGTATGTAACTAAAATCATTATTAGTTGATGTAGATTCACTAATTGTATACCCCCACTAAGACAACCCATATTGCCCATCTTTAGCTTCCATTAAACACTCCACTGGTTCACATTCATGCAATAAGCATATTAACTTAACAAACTCAACAAACAAAATCAGTATATATCCTACCAAAAAAAAAACAAAAAACAAAATCAGTATATAATCCTTCACATCTCATTCCCAATGCTGAAGGATTAGAGAATTCACCTCAAAATCAAAATACACTGAAGATAGGATTACAGAGTATATCGTAGAACTAATCTCTAACTAATCCTAAGTCCTAACTAATAGAGAGCTAAGTCAAATAGAATTACAACCACTAATCTATGACTATATATTATAAGAATAATAAATATAAAATACTAGACATGCTAACACACCCCCTCAAGCACAAGGTTGTAGGGAGACAACATTGAGCTTGTCTCGTAGCGTTGCGAACCTTGCCGCTGAAAGAGGCTTGGTGAAGATATCTGCGAGCTGATCCGTGGTAGACACATAATTGACGACAAATTCTCCTGATGCGACCTTGTCCCGAACAAAATGGTAGTCGATTTCTACATGCTTTGTGCGCGCGTGGAAGACCGGATTGGCGCAAAGATACGTAGCCCCTAGATTGTCGCACCATAGCGTCGAAGGCTGGCCAGAATGCATTCCAAGTTCCCTGAGCAGCGACACAACCCAGGTGACCTCGGCGGAGACGTCTGCAAGGGCCTTGTACTCGGCTTCAGTGGAGGATCTTGCAACAGTACGCTGCTTCTTCGATAACCAGGAAATAAGATTGGTCCCGAGATACACCGCAAAGCCACTGGTGCTCTTTCTGTCTACTGGACAACCAGCCCAATCCGAGTCGGAAAAGGCATGTATACAGGTCGAGGCAGACGGGTCAAGGCGGAGGCCGTAGCCGAGAGTCCCCTTGATGTAACGCAGAACCCGCTTTACAAGAGCCCAATGATCTACCGTCGGTGAATGCATGAATTGACAGAGTCGATTGACCGCATATGCTAAGTCGAGCCTAGTGATGGTCAGGTATTGTAGCGCTCCAACTATGCGACGATACTGTGTCGGATTGTCAAACAGCTCCTCAGCAGGCGTAACCGATTTAGTGACCGCAGCCGGTGTAGCGAGAGGTTTACAGTCAGTCATCCCTGAGCGCCCTAGGAGGTCCGTCATATAACGACGCTGAGATAGAATGAACCCGTCACCTGACTTAATAGTCTCAATGCCCAAAAAGAAGCCGGGAGACCCAAGATCCCTGATCTTGAACGTAGTGGATAGACGCTGTAGGAGAGCAGTCACCAGTTTGGAGTCGTTGCCCATCATTATGATGTCATCAACGTACACCAGTAAAAAAACACGGGAGTCCCCAGTTGCGTAATAGAACAGGGATACGTCGGTTTTTGATGACTTAAAACCTGCAGATAAAAGAAAGTCATGCAGACGCTTGAACCAAGCCCGAGGCGCTTGCTTCAAGCCGTAAAGAGATCGCTGTAGATGACACACATGTCCAGGTGTGGTTGGGTCCTCATACCCCGGAGGTTGCTTCATGTATACGGTTTCAGCTAGATGCCCATTTAGGAAGGCATTATGCACATCTAGCTGCCGTAGTGTCCACCTGTTGGAAACAGCCATTGAAAAAAGCATCCGTACCGTAGTCGGTTTGACCACTGGACTGAAGGTATCAAAGAAGTCTTCTCCTGCTACCTGATTAAACCCCTTTGCCACAAGCCGAGCTTTATACCGCTCAACAGAACCATCAGCGGTGCGTTTGGTGCGAAAAACCCACTTGCACCCGATGATGTTCATGTGTGGCTTTGGTGGAACAAGCTGCCAGGTATTATTATGAAGTAAGGCGTTGAACTCCTGGTCCATAGCCTCACGCCAGTGCGCATGGCCCACGGCCTGTGAGTAGCACGTGGGATCTGCCGTTATTGCAGTTAGAGCCTGGAATGGCTCCTCAGTACCTCTTGTCATGTGTCGCAGCCGCATGACATGATCACGAGTTTGTGGCTGGGCACGCCGTTTCCTCGTTCTTACCGGGGCTGTATGTGTTATAGCCAGCCGTGGTGACTCACGAGCCAAGGGTATCGGCTCAGGTCCAGAAGGGGCCGGTGTCTCAACCGGTGCCGATGGTGGATCCAAGACTGGACTTTGTGAGATAATTGGGGCTGATGCCCACGGTAAAGCCGGTGTGGTAGGCACTTGTGCTGCATAATCTGTGTCAAATGGAAAAACAGATTCGTCAAAGCGGACATGGCGACAAATGTAAGTCTTTCCGCTAATTAGATCAGTGCACCTATATCCCCTAAAGGACGGTGGGTAACCTAAGAAGACACACGGGGTGGAGCGATACTCAATCTTGTGCCGGTTATATGGCCTTAGATATGGGTAACACCTGCACCCGAAGACACGAAGAAAGGTGTATGGGGGTGACGTATTGAATAGACGGGTGTATGGGCTTTCAAAATTAATGGATGATGATGGTAAATAATTGATTAAGGTGTTTGCTGTTTCGAAAGCATAATCCCAATATTCACGGGGTACTTTTCCCTCGGCGAGTAGAGTTAAGCCGGTCTCAACAATATGTCTATTGCGGCGCTCTACTCTGCCGTTTTGCTCATGTGTATAAGCGCAGGATTGGCGATGGCTTATTCCTAAGGATTGGAATATTTTGTGGAGTTTTTGATACTCACCCCCTAGATCTGATTGAATTGATTTGATAGAGCGCGAGAATTGCCGCTCTACCAAGACGCGAAACGACTCAAAAGCTTTATATATGTCTGATTTTACCCGTAATGGGTAAAACCAGCAGAATCTGGAGTAGTCATCTACAAATAGACAAAAATACCGAAAACCACTGATAGACAATACGGGGAAAGGCCCCCAAATATCAGTCCAAATTAAATCTAATACATTTTTAGCGGAATTGGAAATACTATCTAATTTGAATCTGGATGACTTTCCAAGATGGCATGAGGTACACGACTCGACTGAAGACGCTTTATTAGGCGTGACTGGGCAGTTTTGAAGAATTTTATTTTGGACTTGTTTGTGCGGGTGTCCTAGCCTGCGGTGCCAAGTGGTGGGAGTGGCCCGGGAACTGACGAACGCGAAATTTTACCTTGACACCGGGAGTTTATACAGGCCGCCTGATGTTGGTCCTTTAAGCAGAATTGTGTTGGTTGTGGAGTCCTTCACAGTGAAGTAATTGGCATGAAATTCAAAAAAAAAACGTTATTGTCAATTGCAAATTTATTGACAGAGAGTAATGGAACAGAAAGCCTGGGTACATGCAGGATATTATTCAAACATAGAGGTTTAGACAAGGATGGGATAGTTGCATGACCAATTCGCGAAATAGACAAACCTGCCCCATTACCCACTCTAAGAACGTCTGATCCGCCATATTCATCTGATTGGCTCAACATGCTCGGGTCCGGAGTTGCATGCGCGGTGGCCCCGGTGTCCGGGTACCACCCATCACCCGGAACAGTGGATGGAGACGTCGGCGCATCACTAGACATGGCTACATGTGCTTGGGGTTGCGGCGGCTGAGTTGTATATCTTTTGTAGCAGTAGACCGCCGAATGGCCGTGTGAACGGCAGATCTGGCACCTCGGCGATCCGCGACCGCCACGACCACCCCGATGTTGGCCACCACGGCCTGGACGGCCACCACGTTGCGACTGCGAGGACTGCTGCTGCCTGCCACCGCCGTGTGTTCCGCGACCACCCGTTCCGGCGTACATGGCAGTGTGGGTGACGCCGGTGTCCAGCGACGGATAGTCATCCACCAATATGAACTCATGCGCCTGTAAAAAATCAGATAGGTGCGTGAGTGTGACTGCAGCTCCGGTTGCCGTCAAGGACGTGGCGAGAGACTTCAGCTCCGGTCGTAGGCCCCGTATGACGTATAGGTTCTGCTCCATCAACGTGAGCGGACGTCCGGCTTGGATGAGGGCTTCAACCAGCACACCGGCTCTCCCGAGGTAGTCCGCAGTCGTAGCGTTCCCTTGCCGTAACATCTGAAACTGGCTCAAAAGTGTGAGACACCGAGCCTGGCTGGAGGACCCGAGCGCGCCGGTGATGGAGCTCCATATATCCGCCGACGTATCCCGGCCGAGAGCAAGATGAAGGACCTCATCTGCCATGGATGAGACCAGAAGAGACACGATGGTCTGATCCTGCTTGATCCAGGCGTGATACGCCGGATTGGCTACCGCTGTAGCCGCGGTAGAGGTTGCCGCCGAGTCGCCGGTGGACGGAGTGCCGAGTACGGTCGCCGGCGGGCATGGAAACGTGCCGTCCACGAACCCCAGGAGGTCCTGGCCGCGGAGGAAAGAAAGAAGCTGCATCCTCCAGAAGAGATAATTCTTGAGGGTGAGCTTCATCATAATGTAGTGGTGGGCACCGGATAGTGAGTTTCCGGTCGCCGGCGAGGGATTTCCGGCAGCAGATGCAGTGCGCTCGGACGAAGTCGACATCCTCGTGGTGTCGCCGGCGAAAGAGGGTGAGAGGGGGAAGAAGTTTGTGGTGGAGGTTGGAGAGGATCGGATAACCTGTGTCTGATACCAGATTAGAGAATTCACCTCAAAATCAAAATACACTGAAGATAGGATTACAGAGTATATCGTAGAACTAATCTCTAACTAATCCTAACTAATAGAGAGCTAAGTCAAATAGAATTACAACCACTAATCTATGACTATATATTATAAGAATAATAAATATAAAATACTAGACATGCTAACATGAAGGAATAAGAACTTTAAGATTTGACGCTATAACACTGAACACATTCAGTAATACTCCAAAATGTAAGCTCCTTATTCAATAAAGAATCGTATACCTCAGGGGCCATCCATCGGTACGTCCCAGTTTCTGCTGTCATAACACCAGTCTGTGCTTTAACTCTGGCAACTCCAAAATCAGCCACTTTAACAACCTGAAACAGGTAATGAGGAACAAATATAGCAAATATATAAACTCAATCATGGACATAAGATACCAATGAAACTGACGGAAAAAGACCACTACAGAATAATTGAGGAAGCATCTTACTTTATGTTCATCCATCAAAAGATTGGCAGCCTTCAAATCCCTGTGTATAATATTATTCTGATGCAGGTAATCCATCCCTTTCGATACATCAATTGCTACTTTAAGCAAATTTGGAAGTTTGAAACTACCCTTTTGTTTGTGTAAATAGTCATATACACTTCCCCCAGACATGTATTCTACAAAAAATCAAATACAATAAAAACTTGTTTAAAAAAAAAAAAAAAAAAAAAAAGCAGGAAATAGATTAACTGAAACAAAAGAAATCCAATTCTACTAAAATCCTATTACCATAAAATACAATGAGAGTTACTGAGAAACACCTGTTACCATGCACAAGTTTGGAGGCTTGGTGCATGCTCCAATAAATTGAACAACATATTTGTGACGGACTTTTCTGCGAGTACCAGAAAGTAAAGTGCAGAGACAGACATCTTAGAAAGATAACCTATAACATTTGCCTTAAGTAACAGCTAGATAAGTTGAATGAAAAGTCCATTAATGTAGAAATAATAATAACAGCCATTTTTACAGTTTCAGTGGCGATTAATACCAATAGCATTGCACCCAAATATGGGGAGGAAACAAGCAATGGAGAAGAGAGAGAGATGATTGTTATGTACCATAATGCAAACTACCTAAAAGCAAGCTTTTTGTAGCATCCTGTGAAAATGTTACCCATTAAAACTTGATGCAACAGTTCAATGAAATAGGTTACTTTATGAGTGATGAGTTATAAGGACTTATAGTGGAAAGTAAGAGACACACTTGTGACATTTCAATTCAACAAAGTATTTTTAAAATTGACTAAACCAACACTGCTTAACAAGAAAAGATGAACCAGCCTTATTGTGCTAGGAGTTAGAGATAAGAAATTTGACAAACCTCATAATATATACTTCTTGAGCGAACTCCTTCTGCAATTCTGAGTTTAGACGTTCAGACTTGAGGATTTTTATAGCAACTTCCTGATTACAGTATATTCCTTTGTACCTAGAACAAAGGAAAGCTTGAGTAATTGGAAAATAAAATATTACACCATAACTCAAAAATTCAAAATTGTCTAGGTTATGATCAACTTACAAGTCACCATAAGAGCCAGATGCAATTTTGTTCTCAAATTTCAGAAGTTGAGGATCAATTTCCCAGACATCAGTTCCGTCATTAGGTATTGCCACAGGTTCACATTTGACCACTATTTGGTTATGGTCGCCCTCATTTGAAGAATGCAAAGACTTTTGAGTTTGCCAAATGCCTTTCTGCATGGTACTCAATATATCCTAGTCAATTGCTGTGCAAGATGACATACAATGTAGTTGACAAAATAACTAATAACTCCTTATTTAGAAAAAATTGATAGAAGGAAGAGTGAAATTCCCCTCGCAAGCATCTTACTTTCTTAACATTAACTGAGGAGAACAAATAAATGGCAATATTCTACCTAATTCTGATTAAAAAGATTCAATAGCATAGTCAAGAGACGATTGTAGAGCATGTAGTACAGAGTTTTAACTAAAGAGAAATAGACGAAGAAATTCCTTGAGAAATAACGGGAAGAAATTAGTTCAGCAAGACAACAGCAAACAAATATCTTGAAACACAAACAATTTTAGGTCTAAATAAGCTTATTTAAGCAGTAGCAAAATAAATACCTGAAATTTTAAAATCTCCCTTTCCACTGCAGTTCGAAGCTGCTCAACTTCCTGAAAAAGATAACAGCTATGCCAGATGCTTTTCGTTGATATGATGATGGCAAAGAATCAGCAAGAAACAAGAGCACAACAGTATAATTTCAAAAGAATAAAATAGTAGTAGTATATAAATTTCCAGTCTTTAGTTTGTGTAAGTAAAAAGATTAATTTTCAAATTTTGTAGCGACTGACAAAAGTTGACATGTCAAGCTTACAATACTGAACTTTTGTACTCAGCAAGTTACAATACTGAACAGAAGTCTTAAAAATGCGTGGAGTAATACTTTTTCTGATTTTCAAATAACAAGCCTAGTATATGTAGCACGTCTTGATCTAGATGAACTATTATTTGAGACGGGAAGGAGAATATACCTCATAAGGCCAACCATCAACAACAAAGACATCTAGAGAGAACCCATCTACAGTGGAAAACACATGTGCTTCCTGAATGTTCAGTCCAAGCTCAGCCAGTAACGAAGTCAACTGTTTAACATTAAAAATTCTCTTACACAAATTGTTTTTTTTTTTTTTTGAAAGGTTGTGTATTTTAATAATAAATAAATAAAATAACATGGCATTTGATTCTAGGAATAGGTAAGGAATGGAATAGCATTCCACATAATAGGCCTATTTTGTCATTTGGTTCATTTTTCTATTCAGCGTAATAGAATTCCATGGAATTGGACACTCCCTTTGCAAAGGGAGTAGCCATTACCAACCCCCCAAGGTATTAATTATTCCTAACCCATCAAGGATAGCTAATTTTTTTAATAATACCTACTATAAATAGATTAATATGTGTGTGTGTGCACATGTATATATAGTTATGTAAATTTATATGCTTTGTAATCTTCAGCTAAGCAAACATTGAAATATCATTTCTTTTGTAATTCCATTTTGTGAACCAAAGAGTGGAATATTATTCCTATTCTATTCTACCCATATTCCATTCCCTCTAGAATACAATTGCTATTCCCTCTATTTTCATTCCACGAACCAAATGCCACATAAGATAAATGAAATTCCACAGCTCTTAAACCTTCTCAAATCCCATATATATGCAGTTATGGCAGAAAATGGTTCAAATATAAGTGTGTTTCCCCTTTCAGTTACTACAAGCAAAGTTTTGTCTTGAATCATGTGTAAAATCATTTGAGAAATTACACGAAATACCTGACTGAGAAGTTTTGGCTTGTCACTAGTTGAAAATGTAATTTCATGCATGGGCCTACAAAATCACTAAACATATTTAGAAGTTAGCTACACAACATGCGCATATCCACATTCACTGATTCACTATTCGACATGCATGCATAGTATGTGCTCCAGATAAAATGAAAATTTTCAATTTTCAGTGAACTGCAGCTCAGCAATGAAGTATTGGGATAAGTTCACATTTTATTTGTGACCAAACCTTGCAAAGCACAAGACATAATGTATACAGAGATCGTCTGGTATTTAAGTACACAATGCATTACCCCTACAACAACAACAAAGGCTCTTCACTCTAGGTGTAATCACTCTGATATAAGAAACTAACACCGAAACTACAAATATTAATATTAGATACCTTGGGGATTTTTCAGAATGGTTAACAGCATTGTTCTCATCTGGAGCATGTGGTTTGCTTGCTTCAAGAACAAGCGCTTCGAGGTTAGGAGAAGAGCCAAAGGCAGGTGGTGGATGGACACTGAGATAATGAAAAGGACATAGAGATCTTAACACAAAGGAGAAAGCTAAAATATCCTTCAATATATTTGGAAGTAAAAAATGATTAGTTATATTGAGAGTCAGCGTGAGGACTTCCGGAACAAGATGTTAACAGCAGATGTCACTCAAAAATAATACCTCTGTGGGGTAGCCTTATTTGGAGAACTTGATTGAACAGACCTTGGCATGTTCCCTTCAGTGACTGGAGATACCTGTGTGATAACAAATTGGATTCAAGCCATAGCAGCTAACATCAAACTGAGTTGGATAATGTAAAATCATGCACTATAAAGTAGCACACACTGCACTGGCATACCAGATTAAAAACTATGTCCAAAAAATTGACATCAAATTTGATTGGAGTGTGACAATGTCAAACACTAGACTCAATATATGGAGTATGGCATGCAACCCAGCAAACACTCTCAAGAAGCACATAACAATGACAACAATCAGGGAAGTTCCATAGCCAAATGCTGGGTTACTCATACAACATTAATGGCATAGTCCTGGAGAACGTGAATACAGCAATAAATTCACTCACCTGAACCACTCTAACTTCAAAGACAGGCCTATTGGAAGGATCACGTGCAAGATGCAGAAGTCTCTTGTGTGTGAGAACATCTTCTGCCCTTTCCACATTCACATCTAATGCATACCTTGGATTGGATGCACAAAAATCAATCTCTTATCTCTATAAACTGGTCAATATCACACCTGCCAAATTTTTCTTAATATGTATTTTTTATAATTGAGCAGTGGGAGCAGGCCAACATTATTTCTGAATTGTTTCTAAATCAATAAGCTATAACAGCACAGGATTCATTTCCCTGGTAGAATGCAACTTCAATTTGACATGATAGAATTCTATGAAAACCATCCAGAATGAATAATTAAATAAGGTTAACAGATTCTGAGGATTTGAAATACACAGAGAAGAACGGTCAGAATTAAGGTTAGTGTAGCTACATTTATTTGTTTAATCGCCGCTATCTGTTTAATAAATGTATGTATAGATAGAATCCATGAGTGAATCGCATTAGTAGGGTAAGCTAACGAGTAAAAGGTCTCGTGATTGTGTGTTGGGAGGAAGGTAAAGGTACCGAGTAGGGAGACGATTGAAATGAGCCCAGAGTTGATCATCGAAGCCATGCAATTGAGCCTCCTGGTTGCTGGAATCCTTGAGCCTCCGAAGAACCTCATTGTACACCTCCAATTTTCTCCGTTGCTGCCAAGTGTTGGCCGGCATCGATTCCACCACTCTACTGCCGCAACTCCCGTTATCTTCCATTACCATTTGAATTTTAAAAATAAAAAAAAATCAAAAAATAAAATCCGAGCGCCACTAAAACCAAGGGAAAAATACAGAACCGACGGCGGCTAGATGTTCAGAGGAAGGTCCCATCCACATGTTTCCCTATGTCCGATATCTGTGTGGGGCGTGGGGATAGAATGCTTAACTGCGGAAATGGATAAGCTCGCAGATCACAGCCTCAGTGCAACAGGTGCCAGGTGGGAGATTCTAAGATTTCGGAATGCTTAATTGCTTTTGGTTTGGTTTCACAGTTACCATTGTATTGGAATTTGGTAAATCCTAAATTAACACGTCATGGTGCGTTGGCTTCCTTTTATTTCATCTTAATCCAGTTTTCAAAAAGTTGGCAAATTGATAAACCTTAGGGCTTCGCATATGGGAATTGAAATTGGAATGAGTATCAAATACTTGATAATAATAATGAATTTTGGTAAAAGTATTTATGGAGTGTTTGGTTGGATGTAATTGTAATTTTTTTTCCTACCTTATTCAATGGCAATGGAAATTACAATGTTTGGTTGGAGGGAATTGCAATTCATGGGGTAGGGGTCCTCCCATGAATTGCAATTCACTGCTTTTAAGAAAGCAAAAAGTAAGTAAATGACAACAATCCCTTAGTTATTATTATTTTTATTATTACACAATAATATTTTAGTCTTTTTACCACTTCTTTCATTCTCATTCCCAATAATTATATTCTTTCCTATCAAACACTGTAATTTGAATTCCTACATTATTCTCACCTTATTCTTTTCCTACCGAATTGCAATTCCTTTCCTACTTAATTCCTTCCTCCCAACCAAACACTTCATTAACATGTTTGGTAGTAGGGTGAATGAGAATGGTTACTAATAGTAGTGTTTGAGAATGAACAAGATAATGAAACCCTTATTTTATTTGGGTATGAGTTTTTCAATTGATGGGTATTTGAAACTCATAGTAGTGTTCTAAAAATCTATCTATCAAACAATAATAATCACTTTCATACTAATTCCTATGGCAAAATCAATCAACCAAATTTGCGTGTACACATTTTATACCCATACTTAGAGCAACCCCAATAAAGGAGTTGTGCATAGGTTTTGAGAGAAAAAGGTGTGAGGTGGAGGAGAGAGGAAAGAGGAGAGTGCGTGTTGCAGGAGCTAGGGTTCTTTGACCCACAAAGAAAAGAAGCAAGCACAAAATGAAGCGTTGGCTTCACAATCGTGTCTAGTCGCATAGCGGGCGCGTTTGAAAAGTTTTTTTTTCCTTTTTCTTTTGATGACATTTTGTTTTTTCTTTTTTTCTTTTTTTAACCTCCTTCTCTCATTTTCTTTTAAAAGTTTATAAAATACCACACCAAAATCTCCATTATTGAGGATGCTCATACTTCAATTTTTCTTATTTCTCATACTTCACTTTTGGAAACGCATTTTGATTAAATTTTTAAGAAAAAAATGCAATTGTAACCTCCTAATTATTTTTTATCTAGTTGCTTGTGATTGCATGTTACGTGTCATAACTCTCAATCTCGAGAGAGCGACAAAATACCCGTACTTCTTTTAACTACATCAAAAAAAATTGGCACCCACCGTGGATGGGGATTGACAATTTGAGGGGTTTTATATTAATTAAATGTATGTACTATATAATCAACAATAATTACATTTGATTTCCCTTTAAAAAAAAAAACAATTACATTTGATTGGCCTTGAGCTACTTACATCTCACTAGTGAACTACTTCGAAATAAATTGATAATTTTAATTTAATCAGATCAATTGAAGTACATCCCGCAATTTAACTTCCCCTCACACAATATTACATTTATTTTAATATATCTTTTAAAACAACAATAACAACAGTAACCGCCATCACCACCACACTACACCCATAATAGGATGATATAATAATACTTGTTACCAGTATTAAAGAAGTTAGGGATCTTTTGCAATCTGGGCAAGTTAATTAATTAATACATGTATATATATAATGTATACTGGATTTGATTTAAAATATTATTTAGTGTTATTTATATCCGTTAATTATACTGTACGTAATATCTAACAAAAATGTTTATGTTGTTTTCTTCCAGTAGTGGTGTGCATAATCTAATTACGAGTCTTCAAAACCACATTTCTTAGCTTTACAAATTTGAGTAATAATTATTGAGAGTTAATTCCATTTTTGGTCCTAGATTTATTTGTGACAGTCAATTTTTAATCTTTTTTTATCAAAATATCTCATTTGGGTTCTAGTATTATTGTGGCATGACCAATTTTGGTCTTGTATCAACAAAATTGTTTGAAATCTCGTTCAATATAAGAACATATTAATACAAAATGCGTTGACCCGTTATATATTTTATATTTATTGTTTGAAAATATTCATAACTGAAGAGCAAAATGCTCTTGTATTTAATACAATTTCAATGATTTTTTTTATAGATCAGAGGATCAAAATTGGTCATGTCACAATAATACTAGGACAAAAAATGAATGTTATGGTAAAAAAACTAAAAATGAACTGTCACCTCTAAAACTATGACAAAAAATACAATTAACTCTAATTATTGAGAACGAATTAGCTAGCATTTGATATAATGCAATCATTATTTATGCATATTTGTGATTAATTTGTTCAGCTAGCATAGCTAATTACTAGCTGGCCGGAGAACTTGCAAGTTGTAATACATGACATTATTAATTAGCAGCTTTAATTACATGCTACACATACAATATTATTTAATGAGCCAGCTAATCTTGCATGCATTTTGTCAGAAGATAAATATACTCAAAACCCAGCCACTTGCCAATAATACACATATATCGATCAACTAACGGACATTTTTATATGATGATAGATGCATGTATATATCACTGAATGAAACGACACTGCACGTGAAACTAACTAACATATACTATACTTTTCAGCTCGGCAGGCAATTATTTATATATACTCGATATGATGGTGCGGCATGCATATGTATTATTGTAAATTTGCTGCTGCAGATTGATTTGAGTATGGATGCAAAATCAATAAGGAGACAAGAAGTAGATTATGAGGAGGAAGATGGAATATGGAAATACGTGTTTGGGTTCACTGAAATGGCTGTGGTGAAGTGTGCCATCGAACTGGGAATACCAGATTTTTTGGAAAGCCAAGAGCAAGCCGTCACACTTGACCAACTATCGTCGGGCCTGGGGTGCTCTCCGTCCGCCCTATACCGCATTATGAGATTCTTGATCAACCGGGGGATCTTCAAGGAGGTGGAGATGACGCTGCCGACAATTAGCAGTACTTCATCAACAGAGGCGGCGTTGGCCTCCACCCGGCCTACCCGCGGTTATGTTCAGACCCCGCTGTCTGCGCTTCTGACAAGAGACGGAGAGAAGAGCATGGCCGCTTTCGTGCGGCTAGAGAGCAGTCCCGTGATGCTTGCGCCGTGGCTGAAGCTAAGCGGACGAGTACTTTTAGGAGATAATAATAATCATAAGTACTGCAGTGGCAGTAGTAGTGATGCATTCGAGGCTGCAAACGGGAAGGACGTGTGGCGGTACGCAGAGAGTGATCCAGCACACAGCAAGCTCATAGAAGATGCAATGGCATGTCACGCTAGGATGGCTGTGCCCGCCATCGTCCAGGCTTGCCCTGATTTGCTCCTCCTCCATGGGGCGGCCGGGGTTGAATGCGTGGTGGTGGATGTAGGCGGAGGTGATGGAACTACTGTTGAAATGTTGGTCAAGGCATTTCCAGGGGTCAAAGGAATTAACTTTGATCTCCCTCACGTTGTGTCCGTCGCCCCAAAACGCCCCGGTGTCCACCACGTTGGGGGAAATATGTTTCAACGTATTCCAAAAGCCGATGCTATTTTTCTCATGGTAATTAATTTAAGTACCTATGCTACCTACCTACATATATTCATTTGGATCTTTTAATTTAATTTAATTTCCTCATGGCTGCATGGCTGGCGGTGAGTACGAGCAGTGGGTGTTGCATGATTGGGGAGACGAAGAGTGCGTCCAGATATTGAGCAAGTGCAGAGAGGCAATTCCAGAGGAAACTGGGAAAGTGATAATAGCGGAGGCAATACTGAGGGATCACCAGGAAATGATCAATGGTTATCAAGGCACTAGGATGAAGCTGAAGAACAACACCAACACTAAGAATAATTCAAAGCTGCAGGAAAAAGACCGTAATAATAATAATAATAATAGTTATGAAGTGGGGTTGATGTTAGATATGGTGATGATGGCTCACACTGGGAAAGGCTTGGAAAGGACTGAAAAACAATGGTCGCACGTTCTTACTGCCGCTGGATTCAAATCATACACTGTCACCGATACTTCCGATGTCGTTTCCATTATCCAGGCCCGACCGTGAATAACTATTTTTTTCCTTTAGTTTTCCAACATTGTGTTAATTAATGTTCATTGATATATCATGCACGATTTATGATATGGATGATTATCCATCTACACCTACTATGTACTTACATTATTTCCATGGATTATTATATCATAAATGGTTTGAAAATAAGAATAAATATGAAAAAAAAAAAAAAAACTCATTTGCAAATATTATAATTTTAATTTTAAGTTAATGTTAGTAGTTTTTCGGATTTCGAATCGCCGTTCACCGTTCGAGATCTAGTCATTTTTTTAGTTTAGACAATTTTAATAAATAGAAACTCAAATATTGAGTTCTCATTTTGAATCATAATTATATTGTAATTTTTCGATTATGTTGCTACAATATCCGATTCGATTTCAATTAAACCGTGGTGATAAGTGTTTATTTGTTTTTATTTTCCCTCTTTTATTAAATTATTTTGTTTATAAATCATTCTAATTTGTGTTAATTTGCAAAGGGTAAGGAGTTTGAAGACTTTAGTGGCAAAGATGTGTGAATTATATATGGTAGCAAAAACTAGCTTTGGTGATCAAAGTTTGCTGATCACGCCTCCAGCCACGCGGCGAAGCTCCACGTGAAGCCAGAACCTGGAAGCTAGATCATATCTGCTGTGTCACGCCATCTCCCACGTCGTGAAGCACCGTACCATTCCAGAAGCTCACCTTTAATTTGCTGTCATCACGCCATTTACCACGAAGTGATGATCAGCTGGTGGTGCAGTGTGCTCTTCCAGTAGCTAACATTTGTTGTCTCACGCCACCATCACCACGTGGAGCTCTTCGAGACTGCATTTCCAGTAGCTAGCTCAAGCTGCATGCCATCGATCAGGCACACCACCACGCAGTCATGGTCTCGTGAATCGTGATGCCATGTGGTATAGGTTCATAATTTTTAAAAAAATATATTTGAGATACCACTATACCAGTAACCAGGTGGTATAGGTTCATAATTATTTTTTTTTTTTTTTAAACTTCTATTAAAAACAATAAAATTATAGACGAAGAGTAGTTGATATGTCATACACCAGGTTCTACATTGTCAGGTCAACCCGATCCTAAATTATGTATTTTTAATATTGAAATTGTAAACATCTAAAATATAAATTGTGTTTTTAAATTTAGAGTATTTGTGAATAAAATAAACGAAAAAGGGTCAAATAGGCCATCAAACTTTAGTTTAAGAGTCAATTAGCCCCCTAAACTTTTTAAAGGTGCAATTACAGTATTACACTCATCAACAATTCATTTAAGTGCAATGAAGCCTAAAAACAAATTAATGATCTGCTATCACAGGTCATTAGGGTTTAGGCCACCTTCCAGCAACAAAAAAAAAAAGTGACAGGCGAAATTTTCAACAAAAGAAGTGATCGGCGAAATTTTCGACAAATCTGGGTCGGTTGCTGGTCACATTTTTTTTTTTTATAGAAAAATTCGCCGAAAGGTGGCCTGAACCCTAATGACCTATGATAGCAGATCATTAACTTGTTTTTTGGCTTTATTGCACCTAAATGAATTGTTGATGGGTGTAATTACACCTTTAAGAAGTTTAGGGGGCTAATTGACTTTTAAGCTAAAGTTCGAGGGCCTATTTGACCATTTTCCCTAAAATAAATAATCATCATACATTGTGAATTTTTAAAATGTAAATTGTGACATTTAATATATAAATTGTGTATTTTTAGACCTAGGTCCACAAAATAATTTGCTGACAAAGAGCAATAGTTATACCATGGACCAGAGTCCACCTTGCAAGGTGACCCTGGTCCTAAATTGTGTATTTTTAGTATTGAAATTTTGAATATCTAAAATATAAATTGTTTTTTTAAGTTTTTGCGAATTTTTGAATATAATACATAATCATCACAAATTATGAATTTTAATAAATAAATTGTAAACATTTAATATGTAAATGATGTATTTTTATAGTCGGATTCTTCTTGCAAAGTGTAAGTTGGACCCGAATCTACATAATAATTTGTGGACTAAGAGTGTCTGGACTCTCTGGACTTATAATAAGATGCAAAAGTGGACCAATTCTAAAATGGGCCAGCCCATTAGAGATTTAGAAGTATGCCCAGCATGAAAATCTTCGTCACCATTTAAACACACGTGTCATTATCATCCCCAAGCTTGTAAAATGAAATTCGTGTTGGCGTTGAAATGAGATCAAACCAGAATTCTGTTTCCATCTCATCCCATCCCATCCATGTCTGAGTGGTCTCAGCTCCCCCGAGAACTTCTAGACCTAATCGCCAGGCACCTCAGTTCCGATACCGATTTCCTTCGCTTCCGATCCGTATGCTCTTCGTGGCGATTCTCCGTCCCGGACAAGCCTCACAACTCTTACCCCTCCCGCTTTCCTGTCATCCCCAATGACGGAATCTCCGACACCAGCTGGGGCTTTAAACTCTCAAGACGCACCATTTACTTGCTCCGATCACCCCCATCCAATGCCTGGATTCTTAAGCTCGATTCTGAAAATCCCCACCGATTCCACTTGGTTCATCCTCTTTCTAGATCACATTTGAAGCCGCTCCCTTTGACTTTCCCTAAACTCCTAGATATCTCTCGATACCACATTCATGAGCTGGGTCAGGAGTACACTCTTCAGTACATAAACTACAGGCCTTTGGCCAGTTCAATTGGTGAGGCAGGTAATCTTTATATGGAGAAGGTCGCCTTATGTCTGGAGAAACACCCCCCGTTAGGGTTTGTGATATTGACCATTCATGTTTCTGGGAAATTGGTTATTTATAGATCTGGTGCCTCCAAGTGGACTGTCATCAACGACCTGAGTTCACCTTACGATGATGTCATCGCCAAAGATGGTCGCTTTTATGCTGTTGATAGTACTGGAAGAGCAGTGACTCTTAATTTGGATTCCGCAGCAGGCATTGATTTGACTGTCGTTGCGCATCCTGTGTTCGGCGGAGACAAGAAATTCCTGGTGGAGTCGTGTGGAGAATTGTTAATGGTTGATAAGTATTTGACTATGGGGCCTGGTGATGATCTGGGATACAGTGAAGGTTTTGAATTTTACGAGGAGTTCGATTGTTTCATGAGCGAGAGGACTCTGAAGTTTAAGGTATATAAATTAGATGAAGAAGGGCAGAAATGGGTTGAGGTTGCAAGTTTGAAGGATAGGATACTCTTCCTGGGTGAAAATTGTACATTTTCTGCTTTGGTTTCTGAGCTAAATTCCGAGTGCAGAGGGAACCGTATAGTGTTTGCAGACTATTATAGGGAAGGTGATGGAGTATGGAAAATACCTGGTATAGGTGTGTCTAACTTAGAGAGTGGTAGCATTGGTCCTATAAATAGTTATATTGGTTATTCTGAGCTGTTTTGGCCACCTCCTTCCTGGATTTCTTCTGCTTCACAGATTGAAGTAAGTCATTCTTGTTCTTTTTGTTTACCTATTCCTATTCACTTTTTTTTTTTTTAATTTCTTCCTTGCTACACTGCTTTGAGGCTTATTGCTCCTTGTAGCTAGCTGAATGTTATTCATGAGGATCCATAGTTTCCCTACACTTTGCTATGCTTCTGAGCATAGTACCATGGAAATCCTGAAATATATGTATATGCATTTGTAGTATTTCGGAATTGTTTGGTGTTTACAAGATAGTTACTTTACCCTTCAGTGATCATACTTGTTTAAAAATATACATTATGAAGTTGCCCTTTGAACAATAACCCCCCCTTTTTTTTTTTGCCTGAAAGATTAAACATAGTTCATTTACAAGAAATATAACCACCTTTATTTTCCATGTTGTCTTTGCAATCTTTATTAGGTCCCACAACTTCCATTTGACAGAACTTGGATTATAGATTACAATTTTGAATATGTACAATCCATAATCAAATATTATCCCATTGCAATCAAATATTTGCCATACTCGTAAAAAGTATGTTAATTTATAATCTTAACAGTGTAATTAAATAAGCTTTAACAAACATCCACTTGATCATTATATTGTTTTGTTCAATCCGTCAGCCACCAGAAATTTTCAGACATTCTGAAAATATGACTCTCTCCAGTGAGGAGTAGCTTCTGGAGAGAACCAGTGGTGGACTATGGACCTCCTTGGCCTGAATATCTAACCCACAGCAATAGAAGTACCTGACTGCTACTGCTACTCATTGTGTTTTCCCTATAAATCGTTGTCACTAAAATCATGTCTCCAACAAGTTCAAAACGGAAATGTACATCATAATTCATAATTTGACCTGCCCCTGACTACAAAACCTTTTTTGCATCTGAGTTGAGTCTTGTTTTACTAAATGACTTTTAGTTGTATTGCATATTTGCACAAAAAAAAAAACATGAACACCCATTTACAAGTTTTTAAACATTTTAAATTCTTGATCAAGAATGACAGTGTTCTCCTAACTATTGCAATTTATTATGCAGGATGGAATGAACCAACTGAGTATTTGAATTTCCCAAGGCGATCAAAATAAGATGCAAAAGAGATATGAACTGACCAAGCTGATGCCTCGGATGTCATGCAAAAACATGAATCTGCTTATTCCAGCCCACCAGATACATCATATTATCCTCAACCTTTTGTTGGGATGTATGTATGTATTGTATTCCCTCATGTAATAGCAGGCAGGAGAATTTGAATTTTCAATTGATTTTCGCTTATGTTTACACTTTGGTTGAAATAAGGACACCTCTATTTATTTTGACATGACAATTACTCTTGTAAAGAAGCTTTTGTTTTCACATGCACAAAGTTGAAATAATAGATAATGCAGCTCTGAGATTTCAGGCATATATGTTTTGCTTTCTGGATTTCCGGTGAATATGCTATTTTTGGCTTGGAAAATGCTTATTTATTTATTTTTTTTGCACCTCATAATCTCTATCTCTTCCTCTTTACGTGTTTTCATAAGGAGAAATTTTAAAAGTGTGCATTCAGCTTTAGCTAATTCGTGCCAAGTAAATAATCCAGGTTAACAATAAAAGATCATACAAGAGAAAAATAACATCCATCCAAAGAAATAACCAGCTGGTATAATATATATTGGATACACGAATAATATATATTTTTTTATTATGATCCATACAACACTGTGTAGTGCATACAATAATCCAGAGTTCATATGTAGCAGCTAGAAGTTGCAGATTATTAGCCCAGTCCAATAAAATATGGTGGATCGCACTCCCAGCTCAAGAAGCAGCTAATAGTTGGCCCAATCCAAGAAAAGATGGACTAAAGCCCGTCAAATCCCTGCTGTTGTCGGTAAAATCCAGCTTGTTTCCATTTCAACTTCACACTTGGTACTGCTACAGTGCCACATGTTTCATCGCCGATTGCCAAACTCGAGAGTGGACGGAGATTGATCGGAGCGTGCAGGGAAAAATCGGTAAAGATGCCAAAGAAGATGGGAGTCAACAGTAAATCCGAGGCGGCTAGGGCTCGAAAGAGCGCTGCTGATTCTGATCGAAAGGAGCGCGAAACAAGAGAGAAGGAGGATCAGTACTGGCGCGAAGCCGAGGGGGCAAAGTCTCGCGCTACCAAAAAACGTGAGGAAGAGGCGGAGAAGCGAGCCGAAGCTGCTGCTAAGAAAGCCGAGGCCCGTAGACTTGCCGAACAGGAGGAGAAGGAGCTCGAGAAATCCTTGAAGAAGCCTGACAAGAAAGCTAATCGAGTCTCTGTTCCGGTGCCCAAGATGACGGAGGCGGAACTCCGAAGACGTAGAGAAGAGGAGCAAGCAGCGATGCAGAAGAGGGCCGAGGAGGAAAAGAGGAGGCAGAGCCGTATTGCGGAGGAGGAGGAGTACGAAAGGGTGGTTCTTGTCACCAATACCAACCGCGATGATTCAATCATTGAGGCGCGAACCGTGGATGAGGCGCTTGCTCATATGACGATAGCAGCAGATAATTTGCCTGTGGATAAGCATCCTGAGAAGAGACTCAAGGCATCCTTCAAGGTATACTTTCTCTATTACTTGATTATTATATATAATGCTGTTTTAGATACTCAAGAGTAAATTTAAAAATAAAAAAAAAAACTATCAATTGCTACATACCAATGAAAATATTTTTTAGGAAGAAATTTGTGATTTAGAACCACATTGAGTGTGGTAACAATGATCATTTTAAGTGAAAGTGGATGCCACAATCAAATTGATATATTTCATATAGTCTCCATACATTGTTTTGATGTTTGATTTTTATGCTTGTAGGCTTTTGAGGAAGCTGAGCTTAGGAGGCTCAAGGAAGAGAAACCAGGGCTCACACACACACAGTACAAAGACTTGATTTGGAAGCTATGGAAGAAATCTCCTGACAATCCTCTTAATCAGGTCATTTTTATTTTCAAGATTTCACCTTTAACATGACTTTGATTCATTTCATTTTTTGTACCTTGTACATCTTTTATTACTCTTCTTTGTCATATGTTTGTCCGTATTTGGCCATGGATATGTATGCCAATAGTTTGTTGAAATACCTACTGTTGTTTGGTTTGATGTCATTCTTCCTATGTCCTTCATTTCCTGATAAAGAGGCAGTCACCAATTCAGGGGCTTGATAATGCCAAGTATTAGAATTAATTGGATTTTTAGAACAAGTGAAAAGTGGGATTTAGGGTATACTTTGGTGGTAAGTTACACACTTTCCCCTTTCCAAGTGGTAGACCTCAGTTCAAATCCCATCACCCCCATCCCTCCTAGATGCACAGTGCACTGAAAAAAAAAAAATCCAAGTGAAAAGTGAATTTTGCTTCTTGGAATGGAAAGGCATTGGCTGATAGGGAACATAACAAACATTCCGACCAGGAAATAAATGAAATTTACTATGTTTTATGCATTTTTTTTTTTTTTAATTAGAGGACTATTTGCAATCAATCATATTATTTATTATACACGGTTGGATTCGAACCAGGAAATAAAATGAAATTTACTGTGTTTTATGCATTTTTAAATTAAAGGACTGTTTGCAATCAATCACATTATGATATTCAGTTGGATTGATTTAGTCAAACTCTCAAACAGACTATAAATTTGATTTTTAATTTGGTATGGTAGCAATTGATTACTCTAGTTGCATGTGTCATTCTGTTAATATGACCTAAATTAGGACATTGTGAATTGTGATGCTTTAAATAATTTCAGAATGAGTTTTATATTTTGATACTTGTTTTTGTTTGTGTGTGTGCATGTTATTGAAATGGTTCTGTTTAAGTTAGTGACATTGGGCTTTATCTTACTTGGCGCAGATTTCTGAGTAATCGTTAGGGAATTCTATTGGATGGCATGGCTTACTATGTGAAGGTTGTGGCTTCACTAGCATGTGAGCTTATATGGCTTGTATTGGTTGATACCCATGGAGCTTACTGCCACTTTTATGCCCTTTCCTAGCTGATGCAATCTGATAGAGAAGTTTTAAATGCTTCCTTAATATCACAGTATACCTGTACTTATTATAAAATACTTGTCTACCATAATGAGTGCTTTTATCCTTTTTTAAAAAAGGAAAGGTTAGTAATTGATGTATTAAAGTTTCTTCCATTTTCATGAGTTAAAGAGGTGATAATGTGCGCTGAAGAGAAAGTTGGCGATTTGATTTCCTGCTATCATCATTACCATTTAGTACATTGATGATGAATATCTGATGCCTCAAATAGTTTTGATTTTTGTGATCTACAGCAGCTGCTAAACTATGTAGTATCTTGATTGAGGTTAGGTTGTGTTATTGTGAGCTGAGAGGTAGGCTGGTTGAAAGAGTGGGATTCATTTTCATAGCTAGGGAATACAATATAGTCATCCTGCCTTTTCCATTTTTGCTTGTTTGGCGTGTATACTACAGTCTACATTTGTAATACTAGAACACATTGGCCAGGGATAAATGTTGATAGAAGAGGGAGCTCAGATTTAAAATGATAAGAATATCTGGTGTGATTGGGCTTTTGAAGCACAGATGAAAAAATTAGGAAGTATGGTATGAGTTTTTCTTTTCAGTTAGATTTTCATTTATTGGGTTGAATTATGATGTTCACCTGTCACATGTCGCTTCTATTAGTTGTTGGGTGTGAAGTGAGAGTAGAAGAGCTGGGGTTAGTGTGTTTATTGTGATTGCGAGTGTCAAAACCCTAATATCATTTTTGGTCCAGTAGGATCAGGGATTATTTTATTTTATATTTTGAGGTGTGCAGTGGAACTGTCAATGACAAGTAGTTGAATAATTTGCCATGTTGAGGTGTGCAGTGGAACTGTCAGTGACAAGTAGTTGAATAATTTGCAAACTAAAGTGGTTGAGACTTGAGATGTTACTCGCACCAGATGGTGACAATGTATTTATAGTTTGTCTGCTCCTTCCACTACCAAGGAAAATGAAGTACTATTGCTGGGTTTTATGTTTGATGGTGATCTTGTTTTTGGTTGTACAAAAAAAAGTGGTTTTAATTAGCTGGGCCTTGCGATGGCGGATGCACATACACATTCGTATGGTTAGAAGGTGATGTGCATGGACCCAGACTGGGACTGTTGAAGATTGCTCGGCTTGCTCAAGCAGTTGTGCGACTGATGTAAATTACGGTGCGCTCGTGTATACAGATATATGTTTAATATAAACTTGCTTGTGTGTTTGGTATTTTGGTCAGCTCAGGTCAGGTCATGTGTTGTTTCAATTTCTGAACTTGTTTGTGGGGATGACATAAAAACCAGTGTGTCTGCTTAGGGAAAAGTTGAAAAATACTCAGAACTAATTAGTATGAAGTGGTGATGCTTAACGGTTGTTTATATGGTGTGGTTTAAAATGGATAGGAGTGGTGAGCATTATGGTTGGTGTGACACATTAATTCATTGTAATTACAGGACGATGGATGAGGTATGGGAGAAACATATATCTCCGCTGTTGCCTGTTAACAGCCTGTTGGCGTTAAAAATGTGTGCGCTTTGTCGGCGGGTTCAGCTCAGTTTTAGATTTGAACGAACACACCAAACCAACTAACTTCCACTTAATGCTTTGAGCTTCTTAAATTTATTGGTAGGCCCCAAAAGCTCACATATACTAATAAATTAACAACGACCAACACCGCAATTTTTGTTTAACTATCATCCATAAGCAGTAAGCATTAAGCAAGCAACGGTCACAAGTCACAATGCTGCTTGGGGGGAGCAGGATTTCGTCACTCTTGAGAAGCAGAAGCAGGCGGCTGCCAGCCAAGAAGAAGAGGACCATCGTTGTTGGCCTCAAATCCGATAATGATAGTAGAGAAATGCTGCTTCGGGTGCTCAATTTGACGGTCTTCCCAGGTGACAGCGTGCTGGCCGTTCACGTTCAACAATCAGATGACACATTTGATCCCAATACATTTCACATCCATGAGGATCTCTGTAAATCCAAGCAGGTTGGTTAGCCTAGCCTAGCCTCTTAACCTCTTCTCCTTTTTCTCTGTCTGTAGAAGCCTGCAGCCTGCAGCCTGCATTTATTTTTATTTCAGGCGGAGTTCCAAGTGAAGGTCTGCATAGGAAACTGCTATGTCACGGAACTCAGCTTTCAAGTACGTTTAAACTTTGCCACCATTCTTGCCGTTGGATGTAGCAGTCTATGGTAGGTACATTCATTTTATAACTCTCTCAGTCTCTCCTCTCCCTCATATATGATATATGTAATATGTTTCTTTTTCAATTGATTGGTAAGGTGCAGCCCCGATGATTCAACTGTGGCCAAACTGTTGAGAGCGTTACCTCCAACTTGCTCACTTCTGGTTATGGACAACGGAGGAAAGGTCCTACTTCAGAGACAGGGAACTTCTCAACAGGGCTCTCTGCTCAAACTTCTTCACACTAGTCCACAACCACCTGCTTTTCATAAACAACTTCTTCATCTCTCTTCTTTATCAACGCCCACTAGCAGTGCTGACAAGTCGAGGAATAAATTTCAAATTCAGAAATCATTGACAATGCCATCTGCATGTCCCTCCTCTTCCTCCACTCAAACTGAGAAGAAAGATACACTCCCCAAGTTCAACAAGGATGGTGTTCTTACCAAACAAATTTTTCAAAGATTAGCAAAGCTACAAGTAATGGGATGCACCAGATGCTTCACGGTGGATGACCTCGAACATGCAACTGCAAATTTTAGTCCCCACTTCTTAATTGGAGAAGGTGGGCACAGTCAGGTGTATCGAGCCATTATTGACAACGATTTTGCTGCTGCAGTGAAGCTCCTTAAACCCTCTCCCTATTCTCAAGATGATCTTCTCAGAGAAGTGGAAATATTAAGTAGTATTAAACACCCCAACATCATTCAGCTAGTTGGGTACTGTTACACCCAGGAGATTCAGGCAATTGTTTTCAACTTATCGAGGGAAAGTTTAAAGCAGAAACTGAGATACATGAGGTGGAATGAGAGAATGCGAGTTGCGATAGGAGTGGCAAGGGCACTGGAATTCCTCCATTCTCTCACTCCTCCTATCATTCACAGAGATGTCAAATCCTCCAACATTCTTCTTTCAGATGGTTGTGAACCACAGGTAATTAATTATTTTTGACCCTCCTCCTATCATTTTCTATCTTGTATTTCATCACAATATAATACATTACACAAAAGTTTTAACACTGCAAATCAAATCAACCCCCAGCTCTCAGATTTTGGAGCTGCAGTTGTACACCCGCAGATTCAACAAGCAGCTACGCCCCATGCAAAACCAGTCAATGTTGTAGGTACATTTGGATACCTGGCACCAGAATATGTGATGTATGGCAAAGTTGATGAGAAGATAGATGTCTACTCTTATGGGGTTGTTCTCCTTGAACTAATCACTGGGAAAGAGGCCATTGAGAGAAACCCAACATCTAACCAAGATAGCTTAGTACTCTGGGTAATGAACAATAGGAATTTTTTTTTTTTTTTTTTTTAATAAAACTAATAATATAAAAAAAGAAAGGGTTACTTTTATAAAGAGGATCTGACTGACTTGTGTTGATGTGATTTGAAGTCAAGGTCACTGCTTAGCTATGGACTTTGTGAGCGCCTCATCGATCCTGAACTTAATGAAGATTACAATGTAAAAGAGATAAATACAATGATGATTGTAGCACGCCTCTGCCTTTTGCATTCATCTTCAAGGAGGCCAACAATGAAAAGGGTCAGTTCTCATACTTTTTCTCTTTGCTCAATTTGGCTGGGTTTGGGATACATATACAGATAAGAAAAACACAAAATTACTACAATGAAAAAACAGTCAACAATCCCGCTTCTTTCTTGGTGCGGTGGCATCAACAATTCTATCAGTTCTTGGTTCCTTTGGATGAAATTCCAAAAGAGACTGTCCTGTCTGAAAACCTATTATTTCTACTAGACCAAATTAATTTAATTTTGAGTTTCTACTACTACTACTTAACATCAATCATTAAGGGAATGCACATTTTGAAACTTGATGATTTGTTGACAGATCCTGCAATTATTCGAGGATCCAGAGCATTGGTTGGAGTTGCAGAATAACAGAGGGGGTTTAGTTATTGGAAATGGTTCAACAGGCAAAATAGAATTGTGCGGAGGGAACATATCAGATTCTCTTGAAATTTTCACAGATGACGAGAGCTAGTACTACATTTGAATCTTTGACAGCTGCCCGCTTATCATGATATATATTAAATTGTACATACTATAGCTTTGTTTAAAATATAAAGTATGAGTTGTTGTATCTTATTTCTCGAATTATAGCAGCATATATACAATTATTGCAGATCATTCAATAGTAAGAGTAGGCTTAAATAAATAAAGGGTAGTAGTTGAGTTGAGGCAACTGAGAGAAGTTCCCCACATTGAGGGATTGGGGGTGACATATCTGGTTGGGTTGGATCAGAAAAGAGTGAGCAGAGCAGCGGCCTGTGTTGGGTGGTACATATCCCATATCAGAATAGAATAGAATAGAATAGAAGATCCCGAGGGCGCCTTTCTGCACAGTTGATCCCCGGATCGAGTCCTCCACCTCCGCAACCTTTAAGTTGGCAGAGTTGGAAATTGTGTCATTCCCCGCAACCTATTATCTCTATATTATTGTAAAATATAATAATGTATGTAGTGCATGCATATATAGTGAAGCTAAGGGTGCTTACTGTTACTGGTACTGGAGATTGGATTATTCAAAAATGGTCATCTGAAAAGTGTGAGTAGTTTAGTTGATTCCCGGAAGTGGAAGTGAAAGGGAAGCTGTGATGGTAAGTAAAATTGAAAAGATGAATACAAGAATATGATAATATGCCTACATAAGCTAAGTTTGCAGCTACCAGTAAACAAGCTAAGATGGAAACAATATTATGCCTACATACATACGTGTTTAGTTGTTTAATCCCCCACCCCACCTCCTATTCATATATATTGTTGTCTTCACTGGACTGCCTTGCCGTCGTCACTCTCACCGCCCCACCAATTTTGGCATTTTGCATTGCCCAATCAAATCAGCATGGAGCCTGTAGGCCTATATATTTTTATTCCTCAGCAGTTGGCTTGGGTGGTTCCCATCTAATTTAAAATTGAATTTTACTCCCACATCACTAAATTTGAAATTGATTTACTATTTTTTTCTAAATCCCTACAATGTTCTCAAAAGTCATCTCATTTTCACATCATATCAAAACAAAATAAATAAAGAATCAAACAACTAAAAGAAAAGGTACAATACCCTTTTTTTAGCAGCTACAACAGCCTTTTGTACGAATTACAAACTTTGGTGTAGTTACAAGTTTGCAACTCAAATCAAACATTTTATATATATATATATATATATATATATATATATATATATAATTTTAAAAATGCCATGTCTATCTTGAAAAGGGAAAATTGCATAAATAAATCCAGCTTAATCTAATCGTATTGGGCAACCAGAACTTGGAGTAGCATGCCCAAAAGGAGATTTGAGCTTTGAGTTAGTTGGGCCCGGCCTGATACAACAGCAGAGGCTTGGCCTGCTTCATTGCCCCATTTTTTATTTGTATGTTTTCTTGTTGCAGTTATTCCATGGGGTGGACCCAGGTCCAGAGAATAATTTGCCGTTTTCTTGGGGTACTATGTTACACATTTAGATTGGGTCAGATTATAATTTGGACTACGAGTGTAAATGAGTCACTCACGAGCGGTTCGATCAAAGCTCGACTCGAGCTCGAACTCAAACAATCGAGCACTCGAGCCGAGTTCGAGCTGTTCAAAAATTACAGTGCTCGAGTTCGAGCATCAGTTCTCGAAATCGATCAAGCTCGAGCAGAGCCTCCCTTAACGAGCTTGAGCTCGGCTTGACTCGTTTACACCCCTAATTTAGACGTCATCACTAAAAAGGTATTGAAAAATAGATGGCAAGAGTTGTCGAATAATTTGGATGTATGTATAATATATCACTATATGAATGAATTATAATATTATTTTTAATACAAAGATAAAGTATTTTTGCATAAATAATTATGAGCAAATTCTTATACAATAAATGAATGTTGTATAAAAAAGGATTAAATTTGGATATGGTAATAAATAAAAATCTGATTAATATGGTATGGAACAATTGCGAAATTAAGAAACACACATTTCAGTTGGTAACGTACCTAATTAAAGCATCCTAATCCCAGGAAAAGAGCACACATCCGCTTAAAGCTAATCCCTCACCTCAAGCGATTTCTTTCATGGAGATCTAAAAATGTTAAGTAACATATCATATTATCATCGTATGTAGCATTGTCGTGATCAAAATAACAAACTATTACTTTTAAATAAATAAATAAATAAGAAAGAAAAAAAGATAGATAACTGATAACCCCATCAGAGCCAGAAGCAGAAGCTCGGAGTGGAGTAAATAGAAATAAAAAAATCCATTTACTACTCCCACAGGGACAGGGACAGGCAGAGGGGAAGATGAAGATGGGGGTTCCGGCTATGCATGCGAAATCGGACTCAGAGGTGACCAGCTTTGACGCTTCCACGCCGCCCCGATCCCCCCGCCGTGCGCTCTACTACGTCCAGAGCCCATCCCATCATGACCTTGAGAAGATGTCTTACGGATCCAGTCCATGCGGCTCGCCCCGTAACTACCACTACCAATATCACTGCTCACCCATTCACCACTCCCGTGAGTCTTCCACTTCCAGATTCTCAGCCTCTCTCAAAATCACCAGAAATCCTGCTCCTTGGAAGCGCCTCCCTACCGCCTCCAACCACCTACAACCCCAAGAAGACGACGATGAAGACCAGCAGGACCCCTATTACCCCTTCAAGTTTTACGTCATCTGCTTTCTCTTCTCTTTCGTCCTTCTCTTCTCCATTTTTTCGCTCATCCTCTGGGCCGCCAGCACGCCTTACAAACCCAGAATCTTCGTCAAGGTTACTTTTTTTACTTTTTTAAATTTATTTCTCCTCCTATATACATTTCTTTTGTTTATACTCTCTACCTGATGCATCATCCACCATCATTAATTAACTCACCTTTTTTGCACTATAAAATGCTTTCTTCCTTGTTATATTGCATTTTTAGTTCAAAACAGTTAATTTCATTGAATTTCCCTCTTATTACGTTGTTATTATTTCCTTTTCCTTTAAAAAAATAAAAAAATAAAAAAAAATTCCGTCACCTTAAACTCCTACTTCGGTTCTTGCCGAAAATTTTACCGAGTTAGGTTTTTAATCCGAGTAGACTCACTATTTTGGTGATCACGTGACTCGCAAACTTTACACTTCACTTCACTGCCATACTTCCTTTTCATGCTTGCTTTTTTTTGATATGTGTGCGTGCGCATTTTCATTCCGCTATACTGAGTTAACTCGCTGGGTTTGGTTTTCGTAAATCGGAACTGAACCGTCCCCGTTGAATACAATTATGTATCCGTCCCGTCCGTGTTTTTGTCAGACTGCATATATATATTATAATTATACAGTGCAATGAATTAACGAACGTTAATGGTAATGGTGTCAGAGCATGAAATTTGAACAATTTAACATTCAAGCGGGAATTGATGGAACTGGGGTGCAAACGGATATGCTGACCTTGAATTCTACGGTCAAGATCTTTTATCGCAACCCTGCAACCTTTTTTGGTGTACATGTTACCGCTACCCCTCTTGAACTCTACTATTACAAGCTCAAGATCGCTTCTGGTCACGTAAGTTTTTCCCATAATAAATTCCATTTTTCAGTCTCAATTGATTATTAGTAGCTAGCTTAGTGTGCTTTTCATGGTAAATAATTACCCCTCAAGATTGTATATTTAGTTTAGTACTGTACCCAAAAAAAAAAAAAAGTACTGTACAAGCTAAGGATGAGGAAGCATGTTTTCCAAGGTAGGAGGAGTATGAACATTGTTTTGATATGCGTGATTGTCAGGGGGTCTGCAAATGACTGTAGGATTGTAGGAAGACATTAATCATGGCTGTGCTGTGCTGTGCTCCACTACTTCAACTGAATTGTTGGACCCACCTTTGAAAGAATGGGTCTTATTTTTAAAATTCCCCAGAAACCCTGCACATTGTTCCACCTACCAGCATCAAGTAGGAGGGAGGGGGACATAAAAACCATATTTCCTACTCTTAGCCCTAGGAAGTATGCTACAAACTCCACCAATTAAATAACTTTCCCCCCTAACATGAAAGCTGTTGTCTTTATGTGCTTTCCCCCTTTTTCTTGATTTCAAACTGAATGGGAGAACAGTTTCAATATTATATTCTGGATAGTGGATAGTGAGTGGCTCCAGCCTCCATGTTTGTTATATTAAATTAAATGAGATGGTTTTTGGAAAGCAAATCCCATATATCTCACCATGATAGCAGAGTAACAGCCCAGAAAACAAAAATAGGCTGAAAGGGTTATAAAATGAAATGAAGAAATACTCTTTTAAAACATGAGGTGTGAAAGGGATGGGAAACAAAGAACCAACTTTTTGGGGTAATCTTGGCATATGTAGAAGAAGAGATATTGGTTCTTCAGTTTGACTTGTTAAACCTGGTGGTTGCATTGAGAAGAAAGTTACTGAAAATTAAAGAAATGAATTGAAGTCGCCTGGCTTAATAGTTTTTTAGTGAACATATCATCAGTTTGATCTCTATATATGATTCGGAAATGGGTAGTTGCTACTCCCTCAAACATGTACCAAAGATTGCCTGTTTAATTTTGATGGGCTGAGTTTGTGTGTGTGTTTTGAAGATAGAGTGGGATAGCATCTCCCTACTTTTACTGATTATTAATCATTTTCCAGTGTACCTCTCTCTCAGTAGTTTTACAACTTTCAGAAGTAAAGATGGGCATGTAGTTAAAATTTCAATTTCTTTCAGTTTTCTTGTTTTGTAACCCCTGGCCCAAATCGCATCTACATACATATACATGTATCTTCTCCTAAATCTCATCTATATTTAAATGCTTAGCTTGCCTGTAACTATATATATCTTCTCTTCTTGAATTCAATTCATATATATGTTAATGAAGTTGATTAGGAAATCCCCTTCCATGATGTGTAAAGCAGATGAAAAATTTTTATCAGCCGAGGAGGAGTAAGAGGGTGTTGGTGGCAGTAGTTGAAGGAAATCAGATTCCAGTTTATGGTGCAGTGCCAATACTGAACGATGCTAAAGACCACAGTGATAGTGTGTCAGTGCCACTGAATCTAACATTTGTTATAAGGTCAAGGGCGTACATTCTGGGGAGGCTGGTTAAGTCCAAATTTTACAACAACATTTTGTGCCAAGTTACTCTCAGGGGGAACCATGTGGGCAAGCCCATCAACATGACAACACATGGATCTTGTATTTATCATTGAATGCTTCTTGTTTCTCAGTCATTTCTTATTTTGTCCCGGCCTTAGCATTTTTTCTACAAATTAAATGGTTAGGATCCTGGTATTCCATGTCGGAAATGGCCTGCGTAGCTAGCTACTTTTATATATATAATGTCATTTTTGTTTTCGTTTTCTTTCAAATTGCGGAGTGGCAGTGTTGGTTGGGATGAAAAGTGACAATAGCCAAACAATAATACGTACTAGCTAGCTGCAAAATTACTTTATTATTTTTGTCATACAACCAAACAATAATAATTCATTTAACGATATGGGTATTATTACACAATTGTATGTATCAATCAAAGTTTAAAAAGAATATTAATATAAATAAAGGTGGCTTGGCATGCAGGCAGGCAAGAAAATTAAAGTAGCTAGCTAGCTAGGGCTTAAAAAAACTAATATTAACACCCGTGTCAATAACAACATAAAGACCGGCGGCAATGAGGAGTACGCTAAGAAGCATCCCCATGAGACCCAGTGTCCAGTTCATCCACCACATTGGACCGTAAGTCTTAGGTTTCTTGACCTTAAGCCACATGAAACATGGATAAGCAAAAGTGACGGGCAATGCGATTCCTCCGATGAGACCAGCAAAGCTGGCCAAGAAGGGAATGGCGACGGCAATAAAGAAGCAGACGAAGGCGAAGAAAGTCCGGATGAAGGCTCGGAGCCACCAGGGGCATTCCTTCTTACACTTGGTGGTGTAGATTGATTCAATGTCGTCGAACATGGGCATTCCGTAGATTTGGAAGGAGCTTATGGCGTTAATTATAACGCAACAACTGATGAGGCCTAGTACACCCCTGGCTACGTCTTGGCTGTGGAATGCGTAAAGCGCTGTTAACATCCCACCGTTTGCAGGGATGAGTTGACCGTAAGCCCAGTAGCCGCCTATCGCCAGAGGAAACAAACACGTTGCTACAAGTATGTATGCAAACTTCACGCCCCTCCACATCGGTACTCGCGACGGATGTTTTTCATCTGAAGGCATTGTTGCCTGCAATATAATAATATAATAATGCATTCAGTTTACCGTTTAGGAACGTAAAAATCATATGTCAATACTACGTGTGAATACAGTTTTCTAATGCTAACTTCTTTATTATTATTTAATTTACTCCCCATCCATTCAACGCTACCTACCTATGCAATTTCTATATATTCGGCTGGCTGGATTATCAGTACGTCGACCACAGATTTAACAATTGGAAAATTTTCAAACGTCAAAGTCTTTAATTTGACCGGTTGATTCCATTTTTCCAAACAATAATTTAATTTGCAGTCGACACCTAGCTAACTGCTCCACCAACCCACTCTGGTCGTCTATTTTATCACGTTCAGTTCAACAACTAACTCAATTAATTCATAAAACTGTACTGTATAGTACTACTATACTAGCAGATGTACTATTGTTATATATGCATGTTAATGTACATAGAATTGAATAACACAAAATTTCTGAATTAATTAATTTTTTCTTTTTTAAAAAAAATATATAATTAACGTATGTATGTATGTACGTACAGTATGTAGATATACCTGTATCTCGAGTATGAGATTGTGGCCTCTAAAGGCAAAAGCTATGATACCAAGAGCATTGAGAACGTCGAAAATCCTGGCGATCTGTTTGCCTTTCCTGAGGGGATCATAGGAGACGTTGGGGAGCCTACCCTCGGCCACGGACACAGCCCATATGAGGGTACAGTATGCGATGGCGGTAAGAGCACCAAGCAGGGACACTCCGGCAATGGAGTTCAAGTTTGGGAGCTGAGAGAGGACGACGGCGGCGCACGTAAACACCAAGTACCATTCCACGTTTGTTAATGGTTTGGAGGTACACGTCGCTCCGCACAGCGTCTGGTAAAGCATCTTGGACGTTGAACCTCCGATGATGATCAGAGTTGTGCACGTACCTGCTGATAGATACATGATTGGGAATGCCGCAAACAGTTTTGCCAATCTTTCACCAAAGGTTGCGTTAGCTAACTGCATGTATCTGCTGTATCGAACTTCAGATTCCACGTTCTCATGGAGTTGAACCATTACGTATAGTGTGTACAGCTGCCATATAAATGCTACTGTTAAGCAGATGATTCCCCATGCCCTGCACGCATATGCATATATATAAATCAGAGAATTGAAGATATGTATATATAATTAATTAAGCTAGTACCTACCAGCCGAGAACGGTAAAGGCAACAGGAAGAACAAGGGCTTGAATACCAATTCCAGAGCACAGAGTGTGAAAGGCAGCATAATAAGCGTTTCCGTTTCTTGACTGGGTGATAGGGAGCCATGCATCTTGCGGGTCTAGCTTCGTCATTTTAAGAGCCTTCCTCAGCGGGCTTCCCAACGGAGTTATGAAAGGAGTAATGAAGCGTGGTGTTCGCGACTTTGGGGTTCTGAACGGCGCACTGGCTGTTCCCCCAGGATGATCCCCCATCGTCAACAGCGGTGATCTAGACATCGACGGCGAGTGGAACTGCGACGGAGGACATGATACTATGGGCGGCGTCGGAGCTACTGATGCCGGCAGTCTAGGCGTTATGGGAGCAGACCAAACCTCATCCGACGACTCTCCCATTTTCACTCACTTATTATTATTATTATTATTTCACCAGGCCGGACACACCACACACCACCCACCACCGGATTCTTATACTAGCTACTCCGATCGGCCGATGCGGGTTAATCCACCTCTCTTGCTTAATTATAAATTTATAGTGTTGCGTGGATTAGGATAACGGAGTTGGACTACAATTTATTGTGCTTGCATATATACAAACAGTTGAGGAATTGAAAAAATAAATAAATCAGTAGCTTTCAACAAATAATTAAATATATGGTACAGTGTAACTAAGTTGACCAAAGTATAGCAGTTGTGTGTATACCATTTATTAGTTTTGACAAAATTGGCTGCTCATAATCATATTATTATATATATATTACATTAAACTTAGCTTAACAACCCAACCCGGCCATGAGTTCTACTGTACTGTATGCGTTAGCCTACTTTTCGAGATTTTTGTCGGTCACCAATCCTTAACTAAAACTTCATCTATCCCCATTTACTTTTACTTATTGACTTTTACTTAAACGGGCTGGCCTATATCAATTATGAACTACCTACCTGCAAGGAAGGAACACAAACATTATATTATATTATATTCTGTCTGAAACAAATTAAATTTTAATTGCTAACTAATCATTTAAAATACAATAAGAATTAAAATTATTTTTACAAATTTTTAAATCGACCCTTAACCAGCAAAGTTGATGAGTTTGATACAGTAAGTTTCAAACCGTACGTTTTCTAAATTCCAATATGCATACATGCGTACATATTAATTTTAATACATGCATGCATATAATATTAATTAAAGCACACCAATCTTGAAACAATTTTCATTTTCACACCATTTATTTCTGGCATGTATACAGGCGTACAGCAACCTTTTTGGACCGTCCTTACTGTAGATATTATATATCCCACTTGTGAGAAGAACATTATTGAGAAAATGGCCATCCCACACAACGGTGGTGATAATATAATGGATAATAGTTTGAGATAAAATATCTCATATTTGTATTATTGCATGAGTATTATTGCAAATTTTGTAGTCAAATCATATGGACTTTAAAGAATTATTAATTGATTGATAGTGTATAGGTAGTTGAAATTATATAATTGCATATAATTGTTTCTTTGCTAGTTTGTAATACGGAGTAATAAATAAAATTTTAAATAAACGGGTTGATCAAATAGATTTATTTAATTTGTAGCAGGCGTTTAATTCAAGGGATTAAAATTTGGTACAAAGGATGTGCACGTTTTATGTTGTTAGCCTTAGCCGCCCAAGTTTTGGCTCTTTCTAATCTAATAAATATAAGAGGATTAGCTATATTGAATTTTTCAATCCCATCGTTATCAAAACAGATGGCTAAGAATATCAACGGGGAATTAAATTAACAAATCTTAAATGAGGTATAAATTGTGTATTTTGGTATTGGAATTGTGAACTTCTAAATTATAAATTGTGTTTCTTAATCAAAAGTCAAAACACAGGAAATTTGTGAATACAATACATGATTATCAAATATTGTGTGAACGCAATATTTAGAAGGAACTTGTGAATACAAAATTAGATAATCAAATTACATATATTTTAACATTGTATGTTCGTAGTATATAAATTTTAAATTTTTAAAAGCTAAATTATAAGCATTTAGTATATAAATTGCGAACATTTGGATCCGAATCCACCTTACAAGGTGTACCGGGCCACAAAATAATTTTCCTGAAACTAAGGGTTGGACTATGAAGAAATATTTTCCTGAAACAAAACTATGGGCTCCCCCAGTGTTGAAAGAAGCCCACAATTTAAGTCTAAGAGCAATATAATGGCCTTGTCCGGAAAACTGCAGTGGCCCAAATCAATATAATGGCACTGTTTATCTCTTAATATTGCCAAATATATTATATATGTCAGAATTGTCAATGCCATCAAAGTCTAGACGGTTACGCGTTGAAAAACACTGATTTGTAATCTTTTTTTATTTACAAGATCCCTATTGAATTAAGTATAAGTGTATTGTCGCCGCACATCTTTCTCAATTCCATCTCCTACCAAATACACGCCCATATGACTAATTCCCTTATGACCCGGGAAACTTGGTTTCGACTTGATGATGTAAGGGCTAATAGCCTTACACTTATAGAACGAGGATATAAGGATCTCTTGCGTTTTCATTTAAAGTAGTTGATGGATTTATTAGACTCGGTATAATATAAAAAGATAAAAATTTTAGTGAAATGATTAATAGCATTTGGAGGTGGAGACTGGAGAGGGACAAAATGCTGCTAACTCCTAATTACAAGCTATGTGGGAAAGTAAAAAATCAATCCTAAAAGAATGATTAGTCATAATGATGAATGGAAATACAATGGGACCGACCACTAACGGAGTTGGAATTCATTATTAATGAGAAGAAGAAGCAATTAGCAACATGATGGATAGTTGAGATTATTTGTTAGCTAAGTGATAATGCGGTTTGGTTGCTAATAATTTTTACGCGTTTGTTTCAACTCTCAACACACGAAGTAAATGTAAAATACAGAAATTATGCGCTTTGGTTGGAGCTTAGTTGGAAGCATTTCCGCAAGTAAGCTTTTGGGCTGGGCCAGTAAAGAAGGACGCTGATTCCCAAAACCAAACGCTTAAAGGTGAGGGTTGCCGTTGCCCAACCACAACCCACCAAATTCCTTCTTAATCAGTATTTAAGGACACTGGAGGACCCCCCATTTCCCTCTCCGTCCTTTGAAAATTGCCACCCCTGGCCCTTGTCAACATCATTCAATTTTTGTATTACCTAATACGTGGACCGTCCTTATCTGCATCAAACTTGATCTTATCTTATTATATATTTTTTGTATTGGTGGACACACATAAGCAAGCCATAGATTAGTGTTTGTCGTGGATCCTGCAATTAGTGATCAGGATTAAATAAATTAATATCAATTATGCTCTTCTGTGGCACTCCAAATTGAAAATTTATTTAATACTGGAAGAGAATTTACAATCGTTATCTAAATGTGCATTGTAGGTGAAACGTGTATACACGTAAGCCAATAAATAATCACAGGATAAACTTGCATAAATTACTCATAACTGATTGACTAAAAAAAATCTAATAGAGAATTTCTTAAATTTGAAGAAAATAAATTCTTAGTTTCTCCATAGTATTTTTTTTTTTTTTTTTGAGTTTCATTTAAAATATTTTTAGCAAACCACCTGGCATGGAGCATGGAAAAAAGGGCAGACGCCCAATGAAATAATAAATGGGAATGGGGCATAAGAGTGAGTGCGACGTCGTCTCTGGATCCATCTCTGTTCCTCTGTCTCCAGCTGTAAATAAAGGAAGGAAGAATAGCAATAGCAATAGCCAATAGCCAATAGCCAAAAGGGCGGCGTACACACACACACACTCCCGGGCTCCCTCTGTATAGTATAGTATAGTATACTACTCGTTTTCTTATTACTTTCTTCAGCCTCAGCCGCGTTTTCTCCATCCCCCAACCATCACACTACCACCATCTATCGTTTTTAATCTTATATATATATATATACATACGCTCCTCCACTCTCTTGTATGTACTTCAATTCTCTCAAGGTCAAGATCAAGATCAAGATCAAGATCGACCACATATTCTCTCCCCTGATTTCTATCTCGATCTCCAATTCAAAGCTAAGGGTTAATTTCTTTAATACAATATAATGGCTCCTCCTCATCGTCATCTCTCGCTCTGCTTACTTGTCTGCATCCTCCTCATCTCCTCTGCATCCGCTTGCGATCGCTGCGTCCATCAAACCAAAGTCTCTTTCTTTTCCAAAGCTTCCGTCCTCCAGTGTACGTATCTTATCATCCTGCCCATTTCCCTTTACTTTTCTTAATTAATCTCATCATTAATTATATATATATATATATTATGGTTGCTACAGCTGGCGCTTGCGGATATGGCTCCATGGCTATTGGTTTCAACGGAGGCCATCTTGCTGCCGCAGTCCCTACCCTTTACAAGGATGGTGATGGTTGCGGTGCATGTTTTCAGGTCCCCTCTCTCTCTCTCTCTCTCTGATCTCTTCCATTGTCTCTACGTTTTTCTTATCTAATTACTAATGAATCAGTTAATTTTGTACGATAATATAATCCACAGATGAGATGCAAGGACCCAAATCTGTGTACTAAGCAAGGGACCACAATCATGGTTACTGATCTCAACACTAATAACCAAACAGATTTTGTCATCAGCAGCAGAGCTTTCAGAGCCATGGCTACTCAGGGCAAGGATCAAGACCTCCTCAAGCTTGGCATTGTTGATGTCGACTATAAAAGGTATGGACTATTTTATTTTTACAAAAAATACTATACTAACTGCGGCCACAGTGAAGAAAAGTAGTAGTGAAATACTCCATACCTAGGTCGAAGTTTGCATTCATGATAATTAGTCCAACTTGGTTTCTTACTATTTGGAGTGGTTTCCAGTTGGTTAGAACCACAACCACCCCATCAATAATTGAAGACACTTTTGGCGCATTCCTTGTTTCTTAGTCTTTCTTGATGGTTGGTTTAAACTTTAAAATGTTTTTTTTTTCTTCAACCCAAAAAAAAAATCATTACTTATATTAGTAACAGTTTTGGATCCAAATGAATAATGGTCCGGTAGACACGGTTGTCAGGCAGGCATATTGAATTTGTTAACGGTCGAATTCCCGCATGCTTTAGTATTATTAATAAAATGGAAATGACAGTCCTCACATGATTGCGTTGCCGGTAATGTATGGTGCAGGGTGCCTTGTAATTATAAAACCAAGAATCTGGCGGTCTTTGTCGAAGAAACAAGCCAGAAACCTAATTACCTTGCAATCAAATTCCTGTACCAAGGTGGTCAGACTGAAATTGTTGCTGTTGACGTTGCTCAGGTACTATAATGGACCGACCACCCACAGGCCACAGTTCCTTATAATATATATATTATTAATTAATTAATGCTGGGGCCTTGTTATTTTTTTTTTTTGTGCAGGTAGGGTCCTCAAACTGGAACTTTATGAGCAGAAATCATGGAGCTATTTGGGACACGAGCAGAGTCCCCAGCGGGGCTTTGCAATTCCGATTTGTTGTGACCGCAGGATACGACGGCAAATGGTATTGGGCTAAGAATGTAATGCCCGCCGATTGGAAAAACGGAGTCATATATGATGCGGCTTTGCAAATAACTGACATTGCTCAAGAAGGTTGCTCTCCATGTGACCACGATGATTGGACATCTTAATTTTTGTTGTACCTTTATTTACTTTACAGAATTAACTTCGCCAACACCATTCATACCCACCACCTTTAACTTTTACCCCATAGATATATATATATATATATATGCACCATGAATATACTTTGATTATTGCATATCTTGCAATAAACTCAAATGATAATGAATAATATTTCGAATTGAATCACAATAACAGTTTCTAATGAAGTTATATTTGGATGGATGTTTTATTCTTGTGTTCAAGATAAGCGAGTATTGATTTTATTGTCACAATAAAATCATAAATTAAAGTCCTACGTGAGCCCACCAACAAATCATGGGCTTTTTGCACCATGAACTCTTTGCATTTCTGACTTCCTTTGCATCCCCAAACTTCTCACTTCTTCCTGTTTTGACCCAAATCTCTTGCCCCTTCACATTTCAGACGTTATGCCATGGAACCGTGTTCACCATTCATGGTGAACACGGTTCTAACGGTGTTAGTACACCGTTATCTTCTTTTTTTTTTTTTTTTTTTTTTTTTTAATTAATTGCGTGACTTTTTTTCTTTATTTTCACATTTTGCGGTTTCACTTTAATTTGAGATGAACAAAGATTTCGGACATTCATAAATTATGAATTCATGCCTGCACATTCACTTTGGAACCATGCCTACACATTCCCATCCGAAATCACGGACATTCATAAATTATGAATCCATGGCTGCACATTCACTTTGGAACCATGCCTACACATTCACTTTGGAACCATGAGATTATGAATTTTCTGTTATAAGATTATGAATTTTCTGTTATGAGATTATGAATTTTCAGTTATGAGATTATGAATTTTCTGTTATGCGATTATGAATTTTCTGTTATGAGATTATGAATTTTCATTACATTCATAATTTCGGACATTCATAAATTATGAATTCATGCCTGCACATTCACTTTCGAACCATGCCTACATATTCCCGTCCGAAATTACGGACATTCATAAATTATGAATCCATGCCTGCACATTCACTTTGGAACCATGCCTACACATTCACTTTGGAACCATGAGATTATGAATTTTCTGTTATAAGATTATGAATTTTCTGTTATGAGATTATGAATTTTCAGTTGTGAGATTATGAATTTTCTGTTATGCGATTATGAATTTTCTGTTATGAGATTATGAATTTTCATAAAATTCATAATCTCATAACAGAAAATTCATAATTTGACCAAACGTGCGCCGTTAACTCCACATCCGCGAAATTTTTTTTTTGGCCTAAAAACGACGTTGTTTTGCCTTGTGTTCACCATTCTCGGTGAACACAATTCCATGGCATAATTTGCGTTCACATTTTTTACCCTTCCAGTCCAATCTTTTGCACACTAACCCGCTAAATTTTTATTCTTAGCCCAATCCACACCCTCATCTTTCCGGAGCCCATTGGGCTCAAACTGTAAACCTCAGCTCCTTAGGCCCAATCCACACTTATCCTCTACTGGTTCTTAGCCCAATTTACACCCTCATCCTTTCTGAGCGCATTGGACCCAACCTGTACCCCCTCAATTCCTTAAGCCCAACCCACACCTCTCCCCTACTTCAAGAGTCCAGACTCCAATCACCCTATGGCCGGAGTAACTCAGTAAAGCCCAAATCGTATCGTATAATAATAATAATAATAATAATAATAATAATAATAATAATAATAATGTGTTTTTCAAAAAGGACATTATTATAACCAAAGTTGATTGATGAGGAATAAATAAACATGCAAAAAATATTATATTGATCAAATTTAGTTTATATATAATAAGAAATAATGAGAACATTAAAAGTAAATATAATTGATGTTGAGGAGAAATATAGAAGACTTTAGAAGTCAATCTTTAATTATTTTTAGTTATTTGTACGTAAAGTTTTCATTTTCAATATTTGTCTTCAGAAAGTAAAACAAATAGTATATTTACGCGGATTTGGCTGGGTGGCTGTCAATTTGCTGTTAGTTGTGTGTGTGATGGATAGATTCAGGATTTAAGGTGTAAAAATTTAATACCATTTTGTTATGTGTTGATTTTTATGATGAATATATTATAAATGAGCTCAGAATAAATTAACCCGCTGGAGCGTACTCAACTAAACCTGAGCCCAAAGCTGAGTCCTGAGCTTGACAACGAAGCTTCGACCACTTCCAAGCATAAAAGAACTCATTATATTCTTTCATCTCAAGTTCAAGTTAAGTTGGAGAGTGTTTCCGTATTAAATTTAATATTTTTAATTTTAATTATAAAAAACAAGGGGGGGGGGGGGGGGGGGGGGGGGTTGAGGGTGGGTGTATAGTTGAAGGAAGAGGTAGTGGTAGGAGAAATAGAGTGACCAATTCAAAGTTTGATGATGAGGAATGAAAAGTGGAATGGAAAACAGAGTATAAATGGTGATTGATTGGAAAAAGAGGAGTGAAGCCAAAAGAAGAAAAAAGACGAAAGAAGAGTGCAATTACTAATTAAGCCTGGCCTCTCTGCATCCTTTTTAGGGCGTTAGCGAACAGAGTTTTCGATAAATTACTTGTGTTCGTATTCGTGTTCGGTAAGCGTTCGTTTATTAAGGTAAATGAATATTAACAAACAAAATTTAGAGTTCGATTAATAAACGAAGAGAGTATGAACAGTTGTAAGCTCATTTGCTAAGAACTCGTGAACAAGCTTATTTGTGTTCATTTAATAATATTCGCGAACAAGCTCGTTTAGTATTCGTTTAATAATATTCGCGAACAAGCTCGTTTAGTATTCATTTAATAATGTTCGTGAGCAAGCTCGTTTGTATTCATTTAATATTTGTTTGAATCCTCTTTGGAGTTGTGTTACTTGTTTGGTTATTGTTCGTGAACATAGATTATTTATTATTCACGAACGAATTATGATCATGGACATATTCATATGTTTGGTTATTAAGCATTCACGAACGTGTTTATGAACGTGAACGAACATGTTCGCAAATATTAATGAACATGTTCATGAACGTGCTTGTTAACAAGCATTTCGTGAACATGTTCGCGAACGTTAACAAACACTAATTAATGCTTAACAAACGAAAACGAACAATATTTTCAAAAACCTTAACAAAGGAACACGAACACAAACACTCCAAAAACCTTAAGAAACGAACACGAACAATCTCCGTTCATTTATGTTCAATTCGTTAACACCCCTAATCCTTTCCTAGCTTAGTATTCTCCCATCCCAGGTGAAGACTCAGGAGTCGAGTCAAGACAGACTTAAGTTAGCTAGCTTCTTCGATCAGCCCCTGGCCCCTGGTATAAACGCGTAAATTGAATTGGAATTTGGAAGTCCTTCATTCATATGATTCTATGAATGGGGTGACCCTGACCTTGACCTACTTGTCTTTTTCTTTTACCAAGTCTTCCCAATATTTATAATTTATAATAATAATAATAATAATATAATAATCCTTGCGGCCTCTGGCTCTCCCTCTCCCTCTATATATACAGTTATACTAGTACATGCGTATGTATATAGCGAGCACTGCCACATTAAATTAAGATATTAGCTGCACTAGATCGAGCGAGCACTACACTACACATATATAGAATTTATTTATATTAACAATTACAGTAATATGGAAGAATCAAGGTTGGAGATGGAGTTGCCCGGATTCCGGTTTCACCCCACCGAAGAAGAGCTTCTTGATTTTTACCTTAAAAACATGGTTTTGGGCAAGAAGTTGCGCCACAACATCATCACTTGTCTTAACATTTACCGTTATGATCCTTGGGACTTGCCAGGTATGTATGTATGTATGTATGTGTACCTACCTGATGACAATTAAGAACGTAGTGATCTGAACATATATATATATATATATATATATATATATATATATATATATATATATATATATATATATATATATATATATATATATATATATGTATGTATGTATATGCAGGACATGCAAATAATGTTGGCGAGAGAGAATGGTACTTCTTCGTGGCAAGGGACACAAGGCATGGCAGTGGAGGGAGGCCAAACAGGACTACTGAGAAGGGTTTCTGGAAGGCGACGGGTTCAGACAGGAAGATTTTTAGCTTATCACACCCCCCCAACAGGATGATAGGACTAAAGAAGACATTGGTGTTCTATCAAGGAAGAGCACCCCGCGGATGCAAGACTGATTGGGTCATGAACGAATACCGATTACCCGATGCATTACTACCACCATCCTCCTCTGCCAAGGTACCTAATATTTAATTAATTACCTACCTTAGTCCTTAGACCTTAGCTTAGCTTGTTTAATGGATTAATATATATACATATATGGGTGCAGAACATTGTGCTTTGCAAAATATACAGGAAGGCAACCTCAATTAAGGTGTTGGAGCAGAGGGCTGCTATGGAAGATGAGATTAATAATACACTAGTCCATAATGCCTCTCCATCATTCATCACCATAGATAGTGATCATCATCATCATGACTTGGTGGCCCAAAGCTTCCTCACGGTCACAATGAATAACAACAACAAGGATGATGATGATGATGATGGTGAGTATAGTACAGGCGCCATGTTGACAGTTGATGATGAGAAAGCAGCAGCAGCAGAAGGTGAATTTAGCACATCGTCACTACTTCTGAGCTTGCAAAGTGGGGAGGAGGTAAAAGTAAAACCCCTCCCAACTAAACTTGAATTGCCAAAGTCGTCCACAGACTACTGGGCTTCCCACTTACAGGATCCCTTCTGGGCTCAGCTCCGTAGCCCTTGCCTTCTTAATGACTTGATAGCTCTCACTCCATTACCCCCCAATCTTCACAATTTCTAGTCCATTTTTCAATTCATTTACCTGCACCACCACCGCACTACATACTGTTCTTTTTTTCTTCCAAATTTGTGTATGTATAACGTACAAGTAGAGAAATATAACCAACCATGCATATATGCTGAGGAATTGATGGAGTTACACTAATTATATTCCATTCCGTAGTATGTAATTGTAATTCAATTCAGATATCAATGCAGTACGTACTTCAATTCTTGTGTAGCTAGATGATTAGATCAGATAATGCAGCCTAGCTGCGCTGTTCCACCACTAACTAACGTAACTGGATGGATGCTGCAAATTTAAATTAACCATAACACCGGGTCAAAATAAAATAGACCCGCCCCATAACTAACGATGGCTCAAATTTCCTTTCATGCATTATGCCACATTTTGAGTATGTAATATTATTATTCTGCTCAATGGCAGCTAATTCATTCCAACAGATTCTAAGTGCATGACCATAATGCAAGCATGGCAAATTATGAGATCACATAACAAAATTTGTGGCTAGCTTTTGATAATTTAAGGGCGGGTATCAGACTTGTCAAGGTTCCGGTAGGGAGGTTGTCTCCAAGACTAATGGCAATGCATTATAATATAATATTGAATCTCTGGTTTTCATTAATGATGCAAGTGTGACACTGTCTTCTGTTCCAGGAGCACTTTAATTTGTAGTCATTTCGGAAATCAACCATCAAATTACTGGAGTAGTATACTAAACAAATTAAATAGGTTGGTTGTTTTGTACCTGATGTTAGGAAGCATTGCGCATGCAAACATATATGTTTTGTACTTGATGTTAGATCCATGCCGGCCAGATCAAAGTCATGTTGCTAGTTGTCAAGGAATGAATTGAAAGATTCTTCCTCTCACCTCCCTAGCTATATATCTGTCTGACCAAACACAAAATGAAGGGTTTCAAACAGTAAGATCCAATTTAAGCTGCTTCCAAAAAGAAAATTGGCTCCTTCATTTCACCTTTGAGATCAAAGAGCAGTTAAGAAACATACTCGTTCTAGCAGTTTTCCCTCTAGGCCTCATCCTGTTGTCCCACAGTTTAATGAACACCTGTCTATTCTAATGAAGTTGCTTCTTCATCACTGACCAACAGGATTAGTAGCATTGAAAGCTTATATGACTTTATAGATGATCAAAGAGCAGTTCCTGTCTAATTTCTTGGCAACAAATTAAATACTCAATCAAGGCAGAGTAGCTGGTCGATCATCTCCAAGCTCCTGCAGTCCAAAACTACATCATCAGAAGCTGATACCAACAAATTTGAGAAGGTTATAGTTTTGCTGTGCACACTTGTTACTTATAAAAATGGAAAAGTTGAGGAGGTCCAGAATCAACTGGCTGGGAGAGATGGAATCAAGCATTCAAGATCTTGAGCAAGAGTTGGAGTGGTTTTTCAGACGTTTGATCAAAACCAGGGTCTCCCTCCTCAACATATATATTCAGTCATTAGCCATCAACTAATCCAATCCCCATGTTTAGGGGATAAAAGATTTTGTAGCTTTAGGGAAACAAAATATATCTGTACACACATGTATATTAAAGCATGGAGTTTGAATGAGTAAATAAATCAACACTTGCTGCCATGTAACTCTCTCTTTTTTATAACTTAATGAATTACATTTATACCATATGAAGGTGTTCCAAACATAGTTCTATATAAAACTATACTGAACACACAGATCCAATTTTAAGAAAACAAAATGAAAATATGGACAAGTGTAGAAAATTAAAGACTCAAACAAAACAAAACAAAATGGGAAGATGGAAGGCAGTTAGGTGATTCTATGTTAATTTAATGAAATCCAAGTTGTCAAGATTTTGGGTGTCTTCACGGAGATAATCACTAACATAGAAAACCCTATCTTTACAGAAATATTCTGAGTTTCCCACATTTTGAGTATGCAGTGACTAATGTGATATAAGAATTATTATGTACTGTAAAAAAGAGAGAGATTACTGGCAGAAGTGCAGAAATACTTGATCAGTTTGTTAAATACTGTCAAGCATTTGTATTTGATCCCGGATTTTGCACTAATGGATCCCCCAGATTTGTGAACAAACACATAAAAAGTGCAAGAGATTTGATTATTTGAAGATATTTGGTTAAGGGTAAAAGAGTTGTCAAGATCCTGGTGGTCTACAGGACTAATGACAATACATCTCATAATAACAAAAGCACTCTTGTTTTCCTCTGAAACTGATGCATAATGTCAGGCTCCATGTGCTGAATTAATATGGGTATACAACTGGAATCTAGGAACTCAAAATTTTAAGAGAATGAAAAAAAAAATAAAAAAAAATGAGAAGCACATATGAATTATGCCCTTTGCTGCTGGGTCCATTGCAGTCATTCAAGAAAAGATGGCAGGCATCAAGTAAGTATTATTAATTTGTATCTTGATCCTCAGACTGACAAGATTTACAACATGATTGAACAGGCCATTAATGTTGCCTTTCTGGTGCAGATCCAGCCCTACATTACCTTTAGGAAATTAGGAGGAGCTAGGCTGGAGAATGATGCAGTCATTTGTCATTATTGAAGGCAGCACATGAATGCAAATTGTGCTTGGTTTTGTACCTGATGGTTGGAACCATGGGGCAAACATAGCCAAGAAAGGAATTAGATCCAGATCAAAGTAAGTGGGTGTTACTAGTTTTCACTTTTCAAGAAATGGAATGAAAGATTCTTCCAGTCACATTCCTCTATATTATATATGAGCAAATTAAAATAAAGGGAGGGAATCAAGTAGCAGGATCCAAATTGTTCTTCCAATTGGGAGGGAGTGTTTTAATTGTTTGAAACAGGTGGCATGGCAGGAGTGAATAGAATAGAATAGAATAGAGCACCCATCACAATCTTCCATCTGCTTTTAATCATTAGGAAATTAATACAAATTGCTGAGTGACTCCCACCAGACTACACTGCTGCTGTGGTCCTGGACGAGGGAGGGAGGACACCATTATCAACGCCACCATTCATCCCTCACTTCATACCCAAAAAAACAATTAAGTCTATTAACACCAAAAATAATAATAATAATAATAATAATAATAATAATAATAATAATAATAATAATTCCTGTACAACAAATTAGTTAATGATACCCAAAAAAACAATTAAGTCTATTAACACCAAAAATAATAATAATAATAATAATAATAATAATAATAATAATAATAATAATAATAATAATAATAATTCCTGTACAACAAATTAGTTAATGATACATTTCATATCCCATAGCTAGAGAGTATCAGCTTGCTCAGGTAAAGTGGCAATTCATGACTTGCGTCACCAAACACCCACTGTGCCCACCCAAGCTTAACCCTAAATGCAAAATTTACCCATAACTCTCCAATGCCTGCCTGCCTGCCTGCCTTGCCATCCAGCAATTACTGCCATCAAATACATTTACACCCCTTGGGCGGCCTCCTGTGCACATTACAACCAAGGGAAGGAAAAAGGCAACAGAGAGTTTGATATTCCTTTCCCTGATTCCCCCCTATCAAACTTCAATAGCTTCTTCAAGTGAAGACACTCTTTCACTTTCACTTCCTCAACCACAAAGAGTGGGCAGCTATGACACTTGTTCATGTGCTCTTGAAAGATTATCCTCTTCAATGCGTTGCAACAGCTCCTCATACACTTTCAAGGAGTTGGCAGTAAATCTTTCCATAGCTTCAAATATATGCTGTAGACCACCCTGAAGGCTACTACTTTTGCTCGTATCACTCTGGTACACAACATGTCTATTTAATGACAGAGCATTTTCCTCCCCTGACACCAGTAATAACCTTTTATCTAATGCCTGCATCTCCTTTTGTATCTTCTGATCTTCCCTATCCAAGTCCTTAACTATTCTTTCTGTATCCTTACTGGACATCATTCGTTGCCGCATTTCTACCTTGTCTCGTTCCCAAAGCTCAAGAACACTTTTTGCAAAAGCTAACATGCTGTCTAAAACCTCTTTCTCAGAAACTCTTTCCAATGCTTGTGACCAGTGATTGCAAACAACAAACACAGGGGGTGCACCAATCCTACCAGGAGAAAAGGGAACTATTCCATCAGCTGTTTCTTCAGGTACATACAAAAGGCATTTCATGAGCCAGCTATTCAGTGCTTTCACATAACCTTTCTGGGCACCTATCCAACAAGAGAATCTAAATGTCCAGTTCAGAAGCTCACGCTCAAGTCGTAAAGTAGAATCAAGATGAGTGTCAGTAGACTGCTTGTGCAATGCAATGGCATCTAACCGCTTAGCTTCCACAATAGCCTGGCACTGATTTTGATGGCACTCAAGCATGGATTTCCACATTCTGGTTAACCTACAGTTGACAAATTATTCAAAATTAAAACGTAGGAAAATTAAAATTATCAACCATGCAATCAAAATAGCTAGACTAATATAATGAGTACATACCCACATACCACTGTATAGTGCTTTATATGCACTTAAGGAGTTAAGGTCTCAAGTTAATATCATCATTTGCTGATTCAAAACATCTAAAGGGTGTTTATTTTGAAGCAATCGTGCAAGATTCCTGTGGATTTCAATCTTGGGAATCCAGATGCTTGCATATTTCTTTAAAAACTGAGAGTTAATATGGATTGCCACATTGCCCAAGATTCCCACGTGGGAAACCGGATTATCACAACCACTAAACCACACTGGCAATCTCAATTAAATTTGCACCTTATAACAAAAGCATGTTGGTAATAAATTAAGAAGTGCAAGTAATATCACCGACGTCAAAGGATAGATGCCAACAAAATCACAGAACTGAAGCAATGTTCAAGGAAAACAATAACTAAAAACAGATTAATAAAATAAAGAGAGTAGAGGTTTCAAATTTTAGATTAAGAAGCAGCACCTAGTAGAACAAAAAGGCATAAAAAACACAATGATTACTTGATAAAATTACTAAAATTTCTGCATACCCTTGTATAAATTCATTAATCAGTGGCCACAACTCCTCATCCCTCAGTTTATTTATCGTCATAGAGATCTTATCAACAACCTGAATTGCAATTCTAATTTTTGATGAGAGGCTCCTGACCAGATTTCTTGTCACATCGATTTTGTGTGCCTCAGCACCCTTTTCATCTAGCCGCTTCAGTTTTTTACTTTTCCTCTCGTGGTGTACTCTCATTCTCTCCTCAACCTGCAAAGCGTGAGTGTAAAGAAGACATCTTTATTACACAAGTCAAAGAGTGAGAAAAGATATACTGTTGATATGCACAATAGCATGTCAACTAAACTTGCTTGCACATGGGAAGGGAGAAAATCCTAGAATGAAGCAAAATTTAACTGAAACAAGTCTCAGCATCACATATATAATATATTACTGGATACTATGTGTATGAAGAATAAGACCAAATTATACAGTGTCAATTAGATTCAATCAAGAAAAGTAAATAGTGCATAATTTAGGAAAGAACATATGCCAAAGGTCAATTGCAGTTTATATGTCAATGTATAAACACTGGCAGGGCATCAGAAATAGATAATGTTGCATGCAAGACTAGCACACTGAAAGACTAGTCAAAATGGTAAACTGGAGGGATCTAAGTGGCATTTACATTTACATATGGAAAGCATGACATGGTAAGAAGCATCTAAAAGATCTACTGAACAACATACAGAACATTCATCATTCAAACACCCAAAAAGGCAATCTCCATAAGATGGTTGCTGTAACAGGTAAAGCAAAAAGGACTGGAAATGGAATGAATCACAGACTCAAGAAAGAAAAAAAAAATACCTTAACCTCTTCATACAGCTTTTTCTCCCAAAGGTACAGCTTCTGTAATGTAGAAGAAAGGTTTTTGGACTTTAAAAAACTGACATCTCCTTCTGCATCTAATATAGCACGATTGGCCATCTCAGTCTGAGTGGCATTTGATGTAGAAGGTTGTGATGATTCCAAAGACGAGGAAGGCATAATTGTGCGAAACATCTTTGAAGAAACTATCAGAAAAAAAAAGGCCAGTGAAACAACTATTAAAGGCAATCAATATAACCTCAAGCATAAAATATCACTTCAAGTTCTCTTTTTTGGATCAATGTTAGAACAAACAAAATTGCATAATGCCTGGGAACTCATCACTGGTAAAAAGTTGGCATTAAAGTAAGATTAGCACTTGACACCAATTGAAGAGAAAAGATGGTTCTTTTTACCTTGATGCGTGGCATGTTTACGGTTATAGGGAAGCTTTCCAACCTCAAGCAACTTAGCAAGCTCAGCACCAGCTTCTGAAGCTTGATCAAATTGAACCTGAATCTCCCTAACAACATCAGAGTCACCCTTGAAACCACCGCGAGCCTTGGGGCGAGCAGCTGATGTCCCTGCCTCGCCAACCATTTTCTTATCAACCACATGCACCTCGTATTCCACTGGATCATTGTCCACAGATACATTAGGTCCGGTCCGGTGTTCCTTCTCGGAATCTTTTGGTCTTTCACCATCATCTTTTGCTGGTGCCTTGGAATAGCTTCCTTCGCTGCCACCACTGCGTTCGATGTCCACAAATTTCTGGTCTCCGTGGACTTCCTTCACTACCTCTTGCTCAAAATCCTCATCTTCCAAATCAGGAATCCCCTCTTCTTCTCTAACTTCCCTCGAGTCCCGGCTGGGTGTGTAAGGAAGATAAAAATTGTCAGAATTCTCAAAAGGATTCAAGAAATCCCAAGCTGAGCTACTGGGGGGAGGCGGAGGAGGAGGTTGTTTGGAAGTCGAAGCTGAAGATGATGGGCCAGGCCCGGGCGTAGGGGTAGGGAGAGATGAGTAACCATAGTGTGCCGGAGGCGAAGAATCGAAGAAAGAAGCCGCAGCATAATAATTAGTTTGATGATTGGGATAAGTGTGGGAAGGGGTTTGGGGATTGGCATAAGGATAAGGATAGTAGGAAGAAGAGGCGTCTCCCACCCGTACAGTGTCAGGACTGAAGGGCCGTTGCTCATAGGTCACTGACGGCGTGGCTTGGTTCCTCATGAAATTCATGTGCGTAAATCCAGTAGTAGCACCGAGAAAAGCTCCGGGGTAGGGGCCACCGAGGGCGAGGGATTCATGATCCGCGGAGGCGGCGGCGTAGTTTAGGTGAGCATAGGGATGAAGCGGGGTGGCGTTGTGTGAGTGGTGGTGCAGAGATCCAGAGGCGGAGTCGTCTTCACCTTCGGAATCGGAGATGAAGTGAAGGTGGGAGCCGGTGCTAGAGCGAGGAGGAGAGGAAATTGCAGCGGGTGGTTTGTGGGGAGGGGAAGCAGCAGTAGGTTGTGGGTCTCCTCCTCCTTTGCGGTGAGAAGGGAGAGTGATAACCGGGGCCGGGGGGAAAGCGTCGAGATCCTGATCGAAGAAGTGATGGAGAGAGGCACCAATAGCACGGAGAGACTGAAGGTAGGCGAGGTGAGCCTCGGCGAGAGAGTAGCGCTGACGGATAGCTTCGTCAAGGAAGGCGCAGCGGTCCCGACAGAGCGCCACCGCCGGCAGGTCATCGATCTTGGAGGTGGTACACCCCATATTATTTATTTATTTTAAAAAGAAAAAAAGGAAAAGGAATTATATTATGATATGATGATAACATAATATGGTATAGTGGAGGAGCAATCACAGAAGAAGAGAGTGATTAAGAAAAAGGCATGGCGACTGGGTGCGAGTGGAAGGAATTGAAATTTAGGGCAGACTCTGAAAAGAAAAGAAAAGAAGAAGAGAGTAAAGGAGAAGAAGGACAAAGATGGAATCTTTGCCAGCGCGGAGTTGCTCGTCAGTATGCGCCTATGCGGATGATGTTGACTAAGCGGAGACTCGGTGTCAACCCACACTACAGTATATTCATTCATTCCTATTCCTATTCCTATACTACACCACCGCCACTACTGCCAACTGCTCCCTCCATCTATACTTTGATTCCCACTGCACAATGAACGATTCACTAAAGTGTACTTTCACTTTTTGCTATCCTGTTCCTTTTGGATTGACTGGCTACAATTCACTGCAATTTTTTTATCACTTTAATTATATCATATATTACACATTATGAAAAATATAATTTCATTTCATAACTTCCTTTTTTGTTTATGAACAAACTCAAGTAATCAATCATCGAATACAATGAGGAGAGGAATCAACCCAAATATACATACTCGTGTTTGAATGGACCGTCTGAGCTTAAGTGTGAGCCTGCACATTCACACAGAATCCTGGAACCTAGATAGCACACTATTTGCCCTTAAAGCACACTATTTGATGAGATCGATAAACAACACCATTACGGACATTTAATATCGCGCATGAAACGTTACAACTAGCATAATAGGTAAGGCACGCATATAATTTTCTAATCCCTATAATTACCTACGTGTAACTCTTTATATTTCATGAAGACTCTAGTATATAATTAAATATGATCGAATTCCTTGAATGGAACAAGGATCCAATATTCATGAATTATATTATTACTCTTCCACATGTCTTAGTTGTGAAACACTCTCAAGCCAATAAGATTGCAACTTGCAAGACATACGCCTCTACTTGTTATTTTTCTCTCTTAAAAATTCATTCGCAACATTTTATGTATTATTCCTAATATCTTTAAGTTGACTAATATAAATGGTAAAAAGAAAATTAAATAAACTTATACTAAAAATAAAACAAGGTAAACATCATATAGACTGTACTCAATAGTCAATAATGTAGTGGTATATAATCATGATTGATCATATGAAAAAGCAGTACTCCGGCAATGAATATGAATTGGAAAGTTATGGTATAATGGAGTGATTAAAGGGGCCGAGAAGATCAGATCAGATCAGATCCACCAAATACGGTAACAGTATCCAGTACATACGTTTGATGATGCATGGGTCCCAATTCATATTCATATTCATAATAATCACTTAATGAGTAATGATCAAAATTAGTGACATTAACTCCGATCCTACTATATTACAGGTGTAACGGCTCCTTTGCTTAGTGTAACTGACTCCTAGTAATGACGAGCCTACATTAAGTGATGCATAAAGTGCCAAAGTAAAGGTTGCATGTTGTCTCCTCTTAATTGTATTGCAGCCGTTACGCACCCCTTGGTCTCCTTGGGTTGGTTCTCCGGGTCGGGTGCCGTATGGATTCTATGAGGGACTTGTCGAGGGGGAGAGTGGGAGGCCCCACACATCCTATTTTTTGAACCGGTTTTTGCCAATGGGAAGCTAGAATATGAGCAGTAGCAGATCCAAAAAATCATCTGAGTGGAGGCGAATATTAAATGACGTTAGAAATGTCAATGACAAAATATCAAACAATCATAATAAGGTTAAAATACAAAATACATTATGGCCCTGTTTGGTAAAAATTTGGCCTATAGGCCAATTTTGGCTTATTTGACCACTATTAATTGCTTGATTTAGTTAAAATATCAATATAAATGTTTGGTTAATTAGTTTTTTTTGCAACTCTAAAAGGCTAAAATAAAAAAAGCTACTCCTAGCAACTTTTTCAATTAGCTTTTTGAGAAAAGAAATTATACCAAACAGCTATCAGGTAACAGCTAATTTACCAAACACTTTTCTACAATCAGCTAATGTTATCAACTATTTATACCCTCTAATTAACACAATCAGCTAACAGCAAACAGCTATCAGCTAACAACCATTTTACCAAACAGGGCCTATAAATTACAATGGCCCTGTTTGGTAAAAAATTGGCCTATAGGCCAATTTTGGCTTATTTGACTACTATTAATTGCTTGATTTAGTTAAAATATCAATATAAATGTTTGGTTAATTAGTTTTTTGCAACTCTAAAAGGCTAAAATTAAAAAACCTACTCCTAACAACTTTTTCAATTAGCTTTTTGATAAAAGAAATTATACCAAACAGCTATCAGGTAACAGCTAATTTACCAAACACTTTTCTACAATCAGCTAATGTTATCAACTATTTATACCCTCTAATTAATACAATCACAGCTATCAGCTAACAGCCATTTTACCAAACAGAGCCAATATATTTATGAGAAAATATGAAACATAATCAATTAGATAAAATAATTTGAATAACAATATATTCATAAATACTTTTAAATCTTAATTTCTTTTAATTAGATCGATTTTTCTAAATTAATTCGAATACAATAAAATATATTATAAACTTGTATACTACATTAATTAAATGATTTATAAAAACTATACTAAAAGAGCATTTAATTTGTTAATTAAATGATTCATAAAAAAGTAGACTAAAAATATTTAATTTATCTTGTGAAGAAATGAAAGAGACAAGATAATTAAAAGTGTTGCTAATGAGATTTGAACCCGTGACATAAGCCTTTCATAATATAAAATTTGAAGTTTAACCAACTAAGCTATTCAAACTATTAATATTTTAAACATAAATATATATTTTATATAATATTTCATGCTATATTCTAATACCAAACGTAGAAATTTAGGGTTTTAACTAAATGTTACTATAATTATATTTATTAATCAAATTATCAACTATACTTTTAGTATAATATGAATTATACAACTATAATTTTTAAAAAATTATATATATAATATTATTTTTAAAAATATTTTAATATAATTAAGATTTTAACACTAAGTATTAATATTTGGCATATATTTTATGCATCACGCATATAAAATTAAATACTAGTATAATTATATATGAAGTCCATATTCTATAAGAATGGAACAAAGTTTAATTTGAAAAAAAAAATCATAATAACAAAATTTAAGCAATATATACAAAAAATTGTTACGATCATAACAATATTACTCGAGATATAGGACTAAGTTAAAAAAAAAAAAAAATTGTGTCGTCTCATCAACATACACCATAGAATAACATACAATAATTGTGTTTAATTAATCCTCCATTTTTGGTTAATATATATATATACACATAATATTTTTATTTATATCTTATTATTTAATTTTGAAGAGAGAGCTGAGGAGGGAATGGCGTTGTTCATGATTTGAATAAAGAGTGAAGTGAGAAGGAATATTATACAGCTAGTGGATGGTGTACAATTACGTCTAACATGCATTCATACATGAAACTATGGAAGTGGCATAATATTCTTCCAATATTCGTAAAGTGATAAATTATCTCGCGGCCTTTAAATATATATATCTAGCTTTTTGTTAATTTGGAATTGGAATATTCAAATTCCAAGCAAAGATCATGAATGCACGTGGAATGTGTTAAATCATGAAAATAATTTATTTGGGTAGAAAGGGGTCTACACTGTCGTACAAGATCGATTTTGGTTGAGAATCCTAGTAGTGGACTCTCAGCGGAATGGTGGTGTATCCGAAGATAAAGGTTTTTATATATCTGGCAAGTGGCAAGCTTGTTTGAATATTCTACCTACTGCCGACAACCTAATTGGGAAGAGAGTAAATTGTCCAGATCGAGTTATGCTGTATGTGTGGGAAGTACGTCCAGAGAAACTATTGCCCAGGCAGGCCACCTCGATCTTTATTAATTGTGAGCTGAAATAAGTTGGTAGGGGTGAGTTTTAATGACAAGTTCCTCTTTAATTTGCTGATTGGGTCGTTGCCAACCGGAAGAAACTTCACAAACACTCTCTCGATCCGATCCGCTTGCTGCATGCTGATTATTATTTGCTGGAATTGAAGATTTGGTACGTGCGTAAGAAACTAGCTAGAGGGCATGGAATAATTTATTTACTTCTCCCCATCCAGGTTATTTATGTAGAAACATGCATGTGCTTTTCTGGAAGCTTGGGATAAGCTGCATGAAAGTGAGAACAGTCCAAATGGTGCCACTATGGTAATGCCTTGGCAGAATTAAGCCTCCTTCAATTCTGGTTTCATGAAGATTAATGTGGACGCTAGCTAGCTGCAACAGACATGTCTACCAAGGCCGCCATGGGTATGGGCCGGGATGCATTCTTAGAAATGATGTGGCCTGGGTGCCTTTAATTTGTTAGTTGCTGCAAAAGAGATGCATGCGATGGTGCGGGTTTTATCAACCAAAAATCGCTGAGGCAGTAGGCTAGGGGTACGTGAAGCTAGCACGCTAGCTCAAATGGCTGAGGACTACACTAGGTATTGATCTGATGTGGTTCAAGTGGAGTCGGACGCATTACTGATTATTCAAGGACTTACAAGTTACAAGATGTAGGTGGGACTCCTCCTTTGATTTGGTTCTTGAAGATATTAGAAAAATAACTAGTGATTTTTCTTGCATTAGTTTTGTTTTTGTTAAGCGATTCGTGATCGAACACAGCAGCTCATATGTTCATTCTCAGCTAATTGCAGGGTATGGTTTGATGTACCTCCTGTGATGTAATTGCTTCTGAAGCTCGGTAATGTTATGGTTTGTTTGTTTGCAAAAAATAAAAAAATAATATAGTACAACTCTGGGTAGAATTAGGTTCTTAGTTGGGTGGAGTTGAGTTTGCACTATGTTTATGGCCTCTTCCTATTACTGCTATATTCGCTGACACCAGTAAATATTAAATTTCCATTACTACAAGTGGGGCACTTCGCACTTGACTTGCATTCACGTGCTTGCTTCCGTGTCCCCCAGTCAGTCAAGTGACCGGTCTATCCGACCCGGCCTGCCTTCCAGTACAGCATCACTTTCCTGGTTATTATCCTTTTTTCTTCTACTTCTTCTTCTTCATCACCCAATCAATTAAGAACAAAAAAAAGAATCTTTCTCTATCCATCTATCTCCCCCGATATCTTTTTTTTATATAGAATTCATTCTTAATCTTGGATCTAGCTGTACATTGCACATCTCCTTTGGCCTTAGCTTGTTAGTCAAAGCTCGATCTGGTAGATACCTGCTGCAGTCATTTAATTATCGAATTGGGCGGTGGAAATGGCTAATTCTGTTATTAATAGGTTTCTATTAGTAATTATAATTACTACTACCATCTCCTCCTTGATAATGGTTGTAGAAGCTCAGTCGTCGTCGTCGTCCTTCAAATGCGGTACTGCTGCCACTTGCGACGCTATTATAGACTATGTCTCGCCCAATACCACCACTCTCTCCGCCGTGAAAGCCCTCTTCAATGTAAAGAACCTCCGATCTATCCTTGGCGTCAACAACCTCCCTCTTACCACTCCTCCCAACCAAACCCTTAACGCTAACCACACCCTGAAGATTCCCTTCACCTGCTCTTGCGCCAACGGCACCGGCACTTCCAACAAGCGCCCCGTCTACACAGTCGTTCCCGGCGACGGCCTCTACCATATCGCGGCGGAGGTGTTCGGGAACCTGGTGACCGACCACCAAATTCAAGCCGCCAATAACATAAAGGATGCCAACTTGATATTTGTGGGGCAAAAACTGTGGATCCCACTGCCGTGCAGCTGCGATGAGGTGGATGGACACAGGGTGCTTCACTACGGACATGTGGTGTCGCCCGGAAGTTCCATCGACGCAATTGCAGCGCAGTACAACACCTCCCAGGAAACACTCCTCAAGCTCAATGGATTAACGAGTCCCAAGGATCTCATGGCTGGGGCGGTTCTTGACGTACCTCTTCCAAGTATATATTTTTAATTTATTTATATTTACATTTCAATTCCTGCCTAGCTTCTTAATTAATTAATTTCATTTCATGCCAAGCACCTATTATTGCAACCTAGCTAAGTAGTAAGCTAAGTACTCATGAAATTAGTTTTTTTTTGAGCTAACAATCTAATATAATGCTATATATGCCGGCCCGCAGCTTGTACGTCAATGATAAGCAACACTTCACTGGACTACCCACTGCTTGTTCCAAATGGGACTTACGTGTTCACTGCTGCCAATTGCGTCATGTGCAAATGTGATGCTGCTAATAACTGGAAGTAAGTCCCTTAATTAGCTTGTTATTAAATAAGGTTTGGTTTTTGTTTTGAGGTATTAAACTTGGTCATCGATCATTGTATGTATTTGTGGCGGACGTACGGAGCAGTTTAGAATGCGAACGCACAGAAATAAAATCGTCAGTTTGGGCAACATGCCCGTCGACGCCATGCCAGTTTGGTTCAGGGCAGGGTGGCGGTTGTGGCGTAACAGAGTGTGCCTATGCTGGTTACACCAACCAAACCATTCTCACCGCATCCGCCCCCAACACCTCAACTTGCCCACGTAAGTGCTGCCATACCTGCGCCCCCATCTTAAATTACCTGCTTTAATTTAATTGCCGCTTTATATACTACTATACGCTGTTATTTAATTATTATATATATATATATATTATTGTATGCTCGTATGTTAATAATATATATTTTTTTTTTATCATGTGTAGCTGTAGCGAATGGCGGTGCAATATTAAGGCAGCAAGCATGGGGGTTGGACTTTCTTCTCATTTCTTGCATTGTTTTCATCTCTACTTATCTACCTTAATCGTGTAATCCATCTCCCTATACTGTACTATCCCATGCTTTTAATAACCATATTTAGACACGTTTAATTTATCTAGCTTAGATTATTTATCTTAACTTGGAATTGAAGTTTAGTTTTATTTTCTTCTTTGTTGTCATCAACTCAAGTTTGATTTTCATATATCAAAATCAAAATTATATGTAAATTAAAGCCAGAAGACTATAAGCTAAGAGGAGACTTTCCTTATAAATGCATGTGTTCTGCAGCTCGATCTAAATCTGTTATCACAGTTGACCCATGCTCAAATCAATACTTTATTACGTACCAAACGACAAAAAGTCAATAATATCAGTCTCAACAGACTTATCACCATGAGGCAATTGTTAGTTAGTGATTCAAATATTCAATACATGGTGTTTATATTAATGATCGATTCTTGCAATGAGACTTCAATTCCCTAACAAAATGTTACATGGTCAACTACTTTAATTTAGGCAATTCAATTATATATAAACATTGTTGTCAATATAGCTATTTTAAATTTGACGTATACTTATTTTAAACATATTCTACATGTCACTAATACGATTATAGTGATTACAATCATGACAAAAAGTCACACGTCACTTTTTAATTATACTTGATTTTCATTTTACATCACAAAATGACCTTATTTATACCTAATGTATTATAATATGGTTAATATAATTACCTTGTATTACGGATGAAGTCATGAAGGTTGATATATGTTAAGTTATAATACTACATCGTAAATGAAATACAGAGTAAGAATTTTTTTTTAGTACATGTAACAATTAGCATTAACATTTGTGTTAGTTATGTTAGAGATTAATTATCCTCGACATTATATACGAAAATTTAAGCATAATAAATTTTATGAACTTAATAAAAGTATCAAATTTAAAATCATTCCCATAAAAGCATGATTAAAGATTTGATTTGTTACTATTATAAATAAAATTTACAAAAAGTACTCCGTATTTTGTTTTTAGTGATGTCAAATTTGTTAATATAGTCCATAGCTGATAGCTCTAATCTAATTTGATATGTTTGAGTTGTAAAGTAGTGTACAAAATATTTAAAAAGAGGCGTTAATTAATTAATCCCTTTGGAAACTAAAGTTAACTTGTCGACTGGCGCGGCACGGAGGCGCAGGGATTAGACGACTACTGCTACTACGGTATCGTAATTCGTAAGCCCAGGTTGCCTGCAAAAAAAAAAAAAAAAAAAAAAAAAAATTGGCTTTGCCGCCTCTGCTTTCTTCTAATTTCTCGCCTATCATTCTGTTCTGTTGCTGTGAACCGTTGTGTGTCTTGTTTCCGGCTGCCACGTCCGTTCTAGCGGTGCAATCCGTCGTCCCGCCGCGATATAAGGTATGTCTGTCATCATCTCTCTCTCTCTCTCTCTTTCGTTATCTATTTTCTATGCTACTTTTGCACATAACCTGCAACCGTTATACTCTGCCACATAACACCTACACTTGACAGAATTCTCCAATTTCTTCATTCTCACGCCGTCGTTACTCACTGCTGCTTCTCATCTCTTACCTCTGTTCCGTCGCCACTCCCAGAACACCACCTCGCTCTTGAATGCCTATATTGATCAGAGGTTCTTCAGAATTCCCCTCTTTAGGTAGTCCAGTTATCAGTGTCCTATTTTTATGTCTAGATTATGACAAATTTTAGATACCATGCCTTTTGTTTGATTTCAGGACAATCTATTGGACTGTGAATCCAAGACAACCAATTCCTAATAATGGCATTTTCTCAATTGAGTGGTAGCACGGTATCCAACGGGCTGCCACATGACATTAGACAACGGGAATTGATGAAGGAAATATTGTTTAAGTTCCACCCGACACAATCAAACCCAGTTCGAAATTTCTGTTTAAGAAGAGTTGGTAGTAGTAGGATGAGATGTGTAGATGGCAGTAGGAATTGTTCTTTGTCCATAAGCAACCAAAACAGATTTCTATCTTCACAATTAATCCACCCAAGGCCAAGGAAGCAGTTTTTCTTGAGGGCAAATAATCCTGCTAGCTCAAATTTTGATGTTCAATCTTTTAAGCAGAAGGATGTTTCTGCCGTGGGAGACAATACCCTCTCAAACTCAAGTGGAGAGGTCCTGTAAGACCTCTAATTATGCTACTGTCTTTTTTACTCTATTTTTGCCTCTAACTAGTTTTAAGCTAAATCTAGTTACATCATTTCCTCATTCCTTTTACTTAAAATTTTCTCTCAGTGAATTAAGTGATACTATTTCTTCTGAAACCAATGGAATTGGGAATTACTTGGCAGACTCTACTACTGCTTCACTTCACTCCCAGGATATTAAGCGTGAACTTGTCATACTCTCTTTACCAGCACTTGCTGGTCAAGCCATTGATCCTCTGACACAGTTGATGGAGACTGCTTACATTGGCCGCTTGGGTAAGGTTGATATTTCAACGTGAAGTTGATTATTCACAATTTTGCCACCATATAATGCATTACCTACACCACAGCTCTTTTCTCACAGTTTGGTAGCTTCGTTATTAGTCTTATGGCTGATGCATAGACCTTTTGTAGCTTGCATACTTTTAATGTTACACTTCACTAGCTGATCATACTGGCTATCAACCATACCTTTGCTTTTCTCTATTATCAAATCTGAAAAGTTTTATTTATTTATTTATTTTGGGTACTTTGGTGAGAGACCCCCTGGTCTCTGGTGGCCACACTGGGCTCCAACCAATGCCTTTTCTTACTTCAATTCTTGGGCCCAACGGTCATCAAACGATTTTCTTTTGTTTTGGGTGGGGTTAGGAGCTTGATTATTTTCCTTTTATTTCATTGCTCACTGGATTTTGTTCTTTGTTTTTCCATAGGTTCTGTGGAGTTGGCTTCTGCTGGTGTTTCCATATCAGTTTTTAATGTCATTTCAAAACTATTTAACATTCCTCTACTTAGTGTTGCAACATCATTTGTTGCTGAAGATATTGCTAAGAGTGAGACTGGATTTTCTCCATCAGGTGAGGTGGACAAATAAAATTTTTGTAAAAAGTTTTGAACAGTGAAAAGTGTGATAGTTTCAACTGATTAAACTAGAATAAACTCAACTCTGTTTGATGCACAGAGGTGCAAGTGACAAAACGTATAGAGTTGAATACAGATTTGACATGATATTAAATTGGTTTGATATATTGACCAGCAACTTGGTAGTCACAAAATTTTTGCATTAGACTTGTGATATATTTTATAATTATGAAATTAGTATTAAGAGAAAATAGAAGTGGAAACATATACAAATTTTATTATAGTCTCATGATGATCTGCAGTTAGGTATATATTTGGAACAGAGTATATATAATATCTAATAAATTGACTAGACATTGTTTGTAAACTTAAATACATATTAATAATATGTTCTTTTTTGTTTTACTACTTTGAGAAACATATCAGAATATTCCTACTTTTTGAAGTTTTGTAAAATAATACAGTAACAAGAATAACGTTAATATCTATGTTATCCCTTTTGTTTTAATACTATTTAGATTAAAAAATTAAAAAATATGAGAATTATGTTTTTGTTTGAAAGTATATGTCAAATGTATAGCAATTAGTATTCGTATAGGTTTATTCATCTCTTATATTTAATTTTATTACCAATACTTTATTAAATAGTCAATGTGGAACTTAGAAGATCTCTTGCTTAAATTGTACAGGAGTTATCTTTAACCAAAAATATTTATTTTGGCTCCAAGAATACATTTTACTCATAATTAAAATTGCCAAATATTTGGTTAATAAAAATATTGATTTACTTTAATTAGGATAAAGAAAGTGTTTTTTCCGTAACTTGATATGCTCAGGACTATACTACTTTAGTAGTTTAGTATGATATAATGATTTCTGGACAAAGGACAGGCTTCTCAATTATATTGTTAATATTTCTGATTCCTTTGATTATCTATTATTCAGAAGGGGATGAAGGTTCCAAGAGTAAACCTTTCAATGGCAGAGCAGAAAGGCATCAACTTTCTTCTGTCTCAACAGCATTGCTTTTGGCAGTTGGCATTGGCATCATTGAAGCTTTAGCTTTGTCTTTGGGATCTGATCCACTTCTTAGTTTGATGGGCATTTCACATGTATGATTACTCCATTATATTTAGTGGTGTTTGGTTTTGCTTGTATGTGCTATGAATGCTTTTACAGTGAATTGGGATTGTTTATTTACCGCTGCTATTTTACATCATCTTTTAAAGTTTAAACAGTGGTAATGTGATATTTATATAGTTCCTTGCCTTGATAATTTAAATTACTTAATTTATTTATGAAAATGGATTTTTACTGCTAATCAATTTTCTTGTAGAAAATTAATTTTCTGGATTTTACATAAGCATGTCAATCATTCATCAAATAATCATTTTAACTGATACTACTTGTTACCAGGACAAGCTATCTAAAGAGCAAAAAGAGACTAGGTTATACTATCTATACCTAAACATCAGACTTAATTATAGAAAAAAATATCCCTGTGAAATATGTGGCAACATTTCAATATTTTCACCTGCTAATTAAGGCTATGATGTCTGAATGAGGTGGTACTAGGTTTTGGCAATGGTTTCTATTCTAATTCTTATGCTTGCAGTCACTTATACAAACTTTTAATTTTATTTATTTATTTTTATTTTATATTTAAGTGATATCTTTTACTGAGTTAATTTCATAATAGACTTCGCCTATGTGAGCTCCAGCTGACAATGGTTTCTATTCTAGTTCCTATGCTTGCGTGCATTTATGCAGACTTGTAATTGTTTTATTTATTTATTTATTTTTATTTTCTATTTAAGTGATATGTTTTACTAAGTTATTTTCATAATAGACTTCACCTATGCGAGCTCCAGCACGAAGATTTCTGGCTCTGAGAGCTCTTGGTGCTCCTGCCTTCGTAGTTTCTTTGGCTCTTCAAGGCATTTTTCGTGGTTTTAAAGATACAAAGACTCCTATGTTCTGTTTAGGCAAGTTCTGTGATCTCTCAATGTTTACTGTTCAATTGCATCATGCATTAACAAGTAGATAAGTGTCCTCTCCTAAATAGATCAGTTCCCCTCATCTTCAATGATAGTTGTTTGCTAGCATTTGCAACTTGCAGTTCATATGGTATTTGCAATGAAATACTTAATTACAAGCATCTATCCATAATCTTTATGCTCTTTGATTACCAATTTCTTAATTTATTTATTCATTGCTTCTGCAGCTATTGGAAATTTTATGGCTATATTTTTGTTTCCATTACTTATGTTCTACTTCCAATTGGGTGTATCTGGAGCTGCCATATCCACTGTCATATCACAGTATGTCAACAATTTCATTAACCTGTTTTGCTATACTCCTATATATTTTTATTTTATACCTCATCTTGTTTCCTTTCAGATTCTTTTCAAATTTAAGTAACTTTTTTATTGATCTTCAATTTCAAGATACTTGGTGACCTTTTCAATGCTTTGGTGCTTGAGTAAGAGAGCTGTATTATTGCCCCCAAAACTGGGAGGATTACAATTTGGTGGCTATCTGAAATCTGGTGAGTTGATGTATTGAGCAGGTCTATGAAATACTGAAGCATTTGCTTCCTGACCATAATATCATTTATCTGAGGGCTTATGATGTGGTATTTAGCAAACTCATTATGCCAATGCTGTGTGGTTGTTGAATGCTTCTTAGACATTTATCTAAACTTCAGATGGGTTGTATACATATTCTGTCATTCTGTGTGTATGTGTGTGTGTTGGGAGGAGGGGGGGGGGGGGGGGGGGGGGTGGTATTGTGCATTTTACTTTGACAATATAGTTTTTGTAATCCATTTGATATCCCATTTAGGTGGTTTTCTACTTGGAAGGACTCTTTCGGTCCTTTTCACCATGACACTTGCTACATCAATGGCTGCTCGTCAAGGTCCTGTAGCAATGGCTGCTCACCAAATATGCTTACAAGTATGGTTGGCTGTCTCCCTACTCACAGATGCACTCGCTGCATCTGCACAGGTAAAATGCATGTGCATTATTCTAACTGACATTTGTCTCATGTCTCCACCTTTTAAATCTTTCTTAATTTATTTGTATAGGCGTGTTCTTACACATCTTACTCTTGTTTTGTCTAGGCACTTGTTGCCAGTTATTCGTCAAAGGGTGATTATAGGGTTGTGAAGGAGATTACACACTTTGTTTTGAAGGTTTGTCTTACCACATTGTGCTTGGTTGTTTCCGGATTCTTTACTACTTGATATGTTTATATACAACAAAAATTATACTCCCTCCGTCCTGAAATGGTTGTCTCATTTGCTTTTTACACGTTTTTTAAGGAATTAAAGTAAATGCTATGTCATTTTCCAATTATGCCCTTCACTTTTCTTACTTTTGGAAATAAAAGCAAAAGTCATAAGGGTAAATTGGAAAAGTAGAATGATGTTGATGTTCAATTTTGGAAAGAGGACAACATTTTGGGACAAACTAAAAAGGAAAGTAAGACATGAAAAATGGGACGGAGGGAGTATATATTATTTGAAAATTTAGACTTTAATCTTCATTTTATCGGCTACCTTTTAACAGATTGGACTGGTTACTGGTGTTTTTTTAACCTCTGCATTGGGTGTTTCTTTTGCTTCTCTGGCAACTTTATTTACCAAGGACATGGAAGTATTGGGAGTAGTCAAAACTGGTGTATTGGTATGCTTGAGGCCTCTGGCTTTCTAATGGTTTGATGCTTCTTTGCATTCTATGGGGCATTGCTATCATATATCTAATTTGAAAAAAATGAAATCACTGCAGTTTGTGAGTGCTAGTCAACCGATAAATGCTCTAGCTTTTATTTTTGACGGTCTCCATTATGGTGTTTCAGATTTTGCATATGTAGCTCGTTCTATGGTAAGTTCATATTCCGTAATGTTATAAGGTATATTGAACATCTGGTGTACCATAACACATGCTTTTGTATTACAGATGTTGGTGGGTGCTTTATCTTCTGCATTTTTGCTCTATGCTCCAAGAGTTTTTGGTCTTCAGGGTGTTTGGTTGGGCTTGACCCTTTTCATGGGATTGCGAATGATGGCTGGTTTTATAAGGTTAATGTTAGTAGGTTGTTAGAGGGATCCTCCTAACTACCCATTTGAATTTCGAAATGAGTGGTTAGGAGTATCCATTGCCTTGTATATAAGCAGAGGCTTTCTTTGTTCTCTGCACAGAGTTAATATTTCACAGTGCAATATACACACTTCACTTTAGAGCTTAACAGTTAAAAATAGTAAAATACTGCAGAATCTCTCTCTCTCTCTCTCCATGCATGTGTATATTGTGCAGCAGATAGCTTGTCTTTTATAATTTTCTCACTTTTCTGTTTCACCAGAATCAGATTGTTAGTTTGATTTATGTATTTGAAAGGATATCCTGGCCCTCTCAAAGGAATTGTTCAGGTTGAATAGCAAGGTGTTAACTACTTTTAAGACCCAAGAAGTATATGGTGCCACCTAGGGACTAGTTATTTATGATTCATGTCTTTTTTTTTCTTTTTTTTTTTTTTTTTTTTGGGGGGGGGGGGGGGGGTGGGGGTTGGGGGCTAAAATTTTAGGTGAGGAGATGCTACTCCACTCCATGGCCAGGGCATGCGATAGGCCTTGGCTATCAAAAAGGACTCCCTGTGGATAGTACAGATTGTCCACTAAAGCAAACTGCTACTTGTATTTGTATTTAGTAGTGGATTAAATGTGCATTTAGCAATATTTTTCATGATGCTATACCAAAATCTAGCCATTTGAGCATTTTTATACTCGAATTATTGGTAGATGCATGAGCTGACTAAAATTATATTTAAAAATTTTGATGCCATTGCTTCTCATGTGTGGAGTATGTTTTGCTTTTCAGGATTTTCTCAAAGGATGGCCCTTGGTGGTTCCTGCACTGTAACATGGATAAATATAATGGTTAGTGATTTTATTTTATTTTTATATCAGAATGGATAACAAATGGCATGCATGCTTCTTAGGGGTGCTCCCAGGGATATGAGTGTGCATGGGTGATTTCAAACACAGTATGTGCATTCTAATGTTGTCAGTGTAGTTCTATTTAGGCAAGTTGATGTTAGTGTAGAGTATGCTGTGTTCCAATGGGAGCATGATATATTGTTGCTTTTTTTAGTTGTCATATCTTTCAATGGTATCAGTAGAGTTTTTGTATTATTATTGTTTATTATCTGACCAGAATCAACTTTCAGGTGCTGGCTAGGGCGGATAGACATTAAGACCTTCCAGCTTTCACTTGAATTTTTGTATTCGAAGTATGTGTTGGATGGGGCCTTGCTTCTGTTATCTACTTATCTGTAGGCGAGTGGGCCTTTCTCTCCAATGGTTGGGAGAGGGGGGTGGGGGGTTTTTGGGGTTCACTGTCTTGTTGGAAGTTGGAACGTATGAGTGTTGATTGTCAGTGATTGACTTTTCTCTGTGCTTTGTGCCTGCCTGGTTTAGGATCTTTTGCTCGTATATAGAATGATAGATAGATAGGTTCATATTATTTATGAATGAAAAGGTTTCCTTTGGTGTATCTCTCTCAGAGTATTGCTTCTTATGTTGTTCCATCAATAATAAGATCTTATTCTGCTAGTCTCATAGAACTTGGGTATCTTATGTATATGTGGTATGTATGATGTTTATTTTAAATTTTTTGAGTGTGAAATGAGTGACTGACTAGTGACACTACCTGCTGGAATCATTCACGACAAGACTCCAAAAATAAACCATCTATCTGCAAGCTTCATAATATTTGCTTTGTGCACGCACAGCACACTTTCTTCTCATTGTTGAGGTGTATTCAAAACCATATTTTGCAATCCGCTCTGAGCAGAATTTTGTAATCACCTACTACGGAGTAGTATATAAATCACCACACACAATTAGCTTGCTTGCTTCTCACCAGGACAAAATAAATATTCCCAATATACAAGAGAAAGAGAAGTTTGACACTAGACTAGTTCTTCCTTCAACTTTACATTACACAAAAACAAAACACACATCCTTATTATTATAATTGTAACAGAAAATGAGTTACGTTGCAGGAGGATTGTAACAGAATGAATAATAAATGGAATGGAAGCAGCTGAAACTAATTATACTACTGCACGTAATTCTCCAGTGAGAAGAGCAAATTTCCTGTGGTGGGAGAGAATGGAAGGGACAGTGATTGCTTCTACTTTTGAAGCGAATGATTGATTTTTGCAGGATCCAGCTGCATAACCCTTAATAGCAGCACTAAGGATTGTCTGCAGAATTTGCAGGGGATCACCATGGCTCACAATCAGCACTGCACACCTATATATAACCAATTAACCAAAACATTACTTACATTCACATTCATACATACATATAATTCCAGCTGGAAATGATCAATGATTACCCTTGGAATTCCGACTCAATGCTGGTTATTGCATTTGTAAGTCTAGAAACAACATCTGCTACACTTTCCCCGCCTTCTTCAGCCTGCTTGAAAGGGTCCTTCTCATCCAGATCCCAAATCTCTGGGTACTGACAATAATAATAATAATAATTCATAGAATGGAAGCTAATTCAAATGAGCAGCATGCATCCATCTATCCATCCATCCATCCATCCATATAAGTAAGTTACTACTTACTTTATCATGCGACATAAGCTCATAAGAAGGGCCAAAGAATCGTTCACGAAGATCATTTATAACCTGCCAGGCAGAATTATTATTATTATGATGATGATGATAAATTGATAATTTCCACCCACCGCTCACGCTCACGCTCACCATACCATACCATGCACTGTGTTCCTTCAAATGGAATATCAAGCTGGGATGCAACTACTTGTGCGGTATGCCGGGTCCTTGAGAATGGGGAGTAGCAGATCCTCACATTCTCAGCCTGGAACTTGTTATCTATCAGCTCCTGTAAGTTACAATTCAAGTAAATACGAAAGTAGAGAAATAATGAAGATCAGAAGCAATCCAATCCCAAGTCTCACAACACACACTTTTGGAATCAAACACCATCCGCTCAGCTCGCTGCTGATCGATCAGACAAGCGAGTAAAAAACCCACACCCTTTCTTTATTCCTATTCCTAATTCCTAATTCCTAATTACCTTACGGAATGAGTCCCCGGCTAATCGAGCTTGTTCAACTCCGGCGACAGCTAATTTATACTGTTCCAGGATGCCATTTTCCTGGCCAAACAAAGATCAGAGTATTACAGTGGGCTGGGCGGGAGTAAGAGAAATGATATTTAAAAAAAAAAAAAAAAAAAAAACTCAATCTCGCTTACCATGGAGGATACAATAAGACCCAATTCATTTGGAATGCTTTTACCATGCCTGAGCACCCAATACCTATTTCTAAGAAAACAATTGCTACTCTCCATAGCTCAGCTCTGTGTCGCCCGCCGGAATCCGGATATTTCTGTCTCCCTCCTGCGCTGCGTTAGGCGTTAGGCCGCGTTAGCCGCATCTTGCTTACCTTTATGGGCTGGCCTAGCCTGGCCTATTGGGCTTTTACATTTCCTACTTTCTTTAAATCTATTTTGGGCTCAAATGAAATACATTATTATTTACTTTATGAAAATTAAACCTTAATATACATGACTCATTAATCCGCTAATTTCAGTACGCTCGTGTCCAAATGTTCACAATTTACATATTAAATATTCACAATTTATTATTATTTAAAAATTTACAATTTGTATACATGTAATTAATTACCTTGTTTTGTATTCACAAGTTTCTTTCAAATACTGCAGTTACACAATATTAACATATTAATATTTGATGATATTCACAAATTCCCTTCTACATAATATTCCAGAATGCAGCCAAACGGGAAAGGAAAATATTTTTTTAAAATAATTTATTTTTCAGAAGTCATTTTTCTATTTTTCAAATTCACCCTTAATACATTATTTGCAACTTTTTATTTTAATATTATTGTCAACTGCCAAAAAATAAAAATGTATAGCATATCTGTATCCACGTCAGCTGTTTGTATATATATTTTCTGACCTAATTATACTTTAATCAGGAAAAACCCATTTCGTCAACTTTCAATCATCGTCATCCGTTGGCTTCTTCCATATCCCATCCATCAACTCCTAAATTCAATACATCAGCAACGGATGGATGGTTGATTCCAAGAAAATAATAATAATACTAGTAAAATAAGATATATTCTTTTGATACCAAGAATCCTAGCCTATCCGTAAACCACTGTATATGTGGATTCCATTTGTTTGTGCACTGCACGTAATCGGTAATCTATTACCGCGCCTATTAAATTACGTACTATTGTTTTTATTTTTTATAACTTAACTACGCTATCTGCGCTGTTCGTCATATCAATATCAATAATTGAGCTTTGACTTCATTTTAATTTCTTCCAATTGAACCTAGCTAGCTTGCTAGCTAAAGGATATGATTATAGTGGAACCATTGCCAAAAAACCATAAGCTAGCTAACTTATAACAATATATATGTAAACATGAATTGAATGCACTCAAATAAAAGAGGCACAAGTGTCAAATAAGTTCATCTACTACTGCGAAGTGCTCAATTTCCACCACGAACTAAATTAAATGTCAAATAGGTCCATCTACGAGTGAAATTTGTTCAATTAACTTTTTTTTTACAGGTTAATAACAAGTTACCTATTTAATTATTAAAATAAATGAATAAAATAAAATAAAATAAAATAAATAAAAATAAAAAAGAATACATCCACCGGCTGTCGCCATTTCAAAGACAGTTGTGGCTGTCCAGCGAGGACAGCCGGTGGCTGTATTTTATTTTTTTTTTAAATAATTTTTATATTATTTTGAAATTATTTTTTTAATAACTAAATTGGTAATTTGCAAAAACAAGTCAATTACCTGCAAAAAAAGCTAATTGAACAAATTTAGTAGGTAAGTGTGGTTAATTAGCGTTTAATTTAGTTCATGGTGGGAATTGAGCACTTGACAATAGTACATGGGCCTATTTGACACTTCTCCTAATAAAAGAGGATGTAGTATGCCAAGTCGATCGAAGATTTTTAAAAAAATATATTAATGATTTTACCTTACTTTTAAAGTAATCTTTTTCCATATAAAAATATATATCAAATGATTTGAAATTTTTAAGTTTACAAAAAAAAAAATAGTAATTAAAAAAACCAATTCAATACGGCAAATTAAAATGTAAAGAGACCAAAAAAAAAGAAGATATATTACGCCATTAAATATATCAATAATTTACAAAAATAAAAATAATTATATTATAATCTAAAAACATAATAAACATCAATTAAGGTTATATCATTGATTTATGTCCCTCTTTTTGTATGTAAATAAATGTGTACATTTTATTTTAAATGTTGTACATTTCAATGTTATTAGACAAAACTACACTTACACCGTTAGTTTTTAATTATAACATTGATAACACATACATCATTATTACCATACACCTATAGCTATCATATCTTTTTCTTTTTTTTTTAATTATCATTTTATTAAAATCATTATATATTAATTTAATACTTGATTATATTTTAATTAAATTTATATGAATGATAAATTATATATGTGTGTGTACAAAATACATATATTATTTGTGTATATATAATTCAAATTATAATTTTTAATTATTTGTATTTATTAATATTTTAATATTGGACATGAATTTTCGCGGATCGCACGTACAAAATGCTAGTATAATAATACAAGCAAATTACAGTTAGTCCCACGATATATATATATATATATATATATATATATATATATATATATATATATATATATATATATATATATATATATATATATATATATATATATATATATATATATTATTAAAACTATTAAGGGTACGTATAGACCACATAAAGGGTACGTAAAATCTGACTGTTTAGTCATACACTGTAAGCTTCAATTTATACCACATGAGTTTCATAAGCTCTAATTTAGGGGTGTTAATGCTGATCGATTCGCTTCACTGTGGGGATTTTTTTTCACAGGCCTTTGCTGGTCATCTCTCAAAGCCCGCAGGTTATGATTATGTAACCCTACCTGTCTCATGCAGACTCGCTGGCCCTGCTGGCCTAACTTCAAAAATAAAAAATATATTATATTATTATATATTTAAATTATTTAACCTAAATAATATTAAATTTTTCGTGTTTAAAAATTTAAAATTTTATATTTTGTAGGATTTAATATTTAGTTGTGTAGTGTGTATATATATATATATATATATATATATATAATTTATGAAAAAATCGCGATCTACGTGGACTAGTTCGTGTAACCCGTCAACCTGTATTGGTCAAGCCCGCAAGGTCTGTATTTTTATGGGCCAAAAATTCTACGTATTATCATGTTCCATTGCAAAATACTTTAAGACTAGTCCGAGACTTCGGCTCACCTTGACACCCCTACTGTAATTAATGTGTGGCTTGACTGGGCCAGTTTAAGCAATCACATTAACCACACTAAGCTATTTAGCTTATACAATTAATTTTAAGTCTGAAATGAATATTATATTTTGATATGAGTTGATGAAGTCACCAGTATAGGTAGGTAGGTAGCTAATATATATATATGTGTGTGTTAGTTTTATTAATTAAATAAATTTATATATTATTATATAATAAAGAGAGATGGAGTGGTACGGTGTACATCATTTTCAAGATGACGCACCAAACATAGTTGTAATAAATTACTAACTTTAACTATCCGCCCATTAACAACATATATTAATACAAAAGGAAACATATTTTAAATGATGACGTAGTGTTTAATTTAAGACGACAACAATGACAGTGACTTGGCAGGCATATATAGTTGCATTGATACGTTTAACATTAGGCCGATCCAATAATCAAATATAAACAAACTACTACTTATATATATACACCGTATAAATAAAGACATATACGTATTATAGCTCAAGGCTAGGAATCCCTGCATTGCTAGCTTTAATTCGTAACTCAGTATAACGATTTACGATGCATTATATTGACTACTTTAACATGGTGATGAGGTAAGGCAACCACACACCTAACCAACTTTCGTAATACAGTATTACATTACATAAAATTAAAAATGAACTCCAATAAATTATACGGAGTACTAAGTAGAAACTATATACAGTACAAACTATTTAATTTGTCTCGTGCGGGTGAGGGCTTCAGGTGCGGTTGTGCGGTTTAATCTGAGCCATCCATCTCGCTTTAATCAACGTCCAGGATTATCAAAGTTTAAAAAAAAAAATGCGGTGGCAATTTTGTAATTTTTGCATCTAGGTCAAAACTAAGGTGAGCGGATCTGTGATTAATGTGTGTGAGTTTTGTGCTTAATGTGCGTGTGTTTTGTGCTTAATGTGTGTGAGGTTTGTGCTTAATGTGCGTGGGGATGTGCTTAACGTGAATAATTGTTAAAAGTTAAAGTCTATGAGTGAATATTTAAAGTGCGTGAGTTTTGTGCTGAATGTGCGTGATGTTTGTGCTTAATGTGCGTGGGTTTTGTACTTAATGTGCGTGAGTTTTGTACTTGGTTGTTGAAACTTAAAGTCTGTGAGTTAATATTTAAAGTGCGTGGGTTTTGTACTTAATGTGCGTGAGGTTGTGCTTAATGTGTGTGTGTTTTGTACTTAAAGTGCGTGAGTTTGTGATTAAGATCTAACACTTAAGGTGCACCAAGCCTCCGACTTGCCCTGGGCTTTGGCAAAACCCTCCAGCAAAGCTGCGCTACTCCTAAGCAAGATAAAAGGAGAAATCCAAATTCAAAGTATAGAGTTGATGAGTTGAATGAGTCTCCTCCTCGCCTTCCTGGTATTCGCACATTGGGCTTTGGCAAGCGTTTTTTTTTTTTTTTTTTTAATAATTTTCATTGATTTGAGTTGTTGATCTAAATTTGATCAACTGCTCAGATCTAACCGCACAACCGCACGGGAAGCTATACCCGCACCTGAACCCTTCCATATATATATATATATATATATATATATATATATATATATATATATATATATATATAATTCAGTTCCGGTGCAGTTGTGCTGTTAATTAAATATGAATCATTGATCTTGCCTAAATTAACGTTTAGGATTAACAATGATTAAAAAACGTGATGGCAAGTTGGTTTTTTTACATCTAGGTCAAATTTAAGGTGCGTGGTTTTTGTACGTTTAAGGTGCATCAGTTATGTTGTTGAAAACTTAAGTGCGTCGATCTAAAGTATTAGGTGCGTGGTTTGTGTGCTTAAGGTGAGTCGGCCTACAGCATTAGGTGCGTGGTTTTAATTTCCTTCTTAAGGTGCGTAATTTGTATGCTTAAGATGCATCAGTTGTTGAAACTTAAGTGCGCCATTTTAAAACTTTTAGGTGCGTGGTTTATGTTCTTAATGTGCTTTGTTTATGTGCATAAGGTGCGTGGTTTGTGTACTTAAGGTGCGTCATTTTAATGCTTA